TAGGCTAGCTAAAATTTATAAGTTCTCTCTTACCTTTTTTCTAGTCTTTTATTTTAAAGCTTATTAATTCTAATTATATTCTTCTTCTCTGCGTTAAAGTCTATTATAACATCTCTACTCTTAGCTACAACCTCTAAATCTATAAGCTTTCTCTCTTACTTTCTTAGTAGCTACTTTAGATAGCGTAGAGTTAGCTTCTAATTTTTATTTTATATATTATATTCTACTACCTACTTACTACCTTTTATTTTAAAACCTTGTACTTTATAAGCTTTACTATCTCTTCTCTAGTCTCTTTCTTACTCTATACTAACTACTTTACCTTCTAGACTTAGCTTTATATCTAGTAGAAAGCTCTGCGCCTATAAGCATAATAATTATAATACTTTTTACTCTACTACTATTTTACGTGTCTCTTAAGTTATAGAAAGAAAAAGTTTATATAAAAAATAGCTATTTAGAGCAAATACCTTATTAAGACTAAGAATATTATTATAAATAGCTATTAGAACGCGCTTAATATCTCTTAGACAATCTTAGTCTTATACTAGTAACTTTAGAAAGAAGAATAATAGTTAAAATATATATATAGAGAATAAGTTTTATTCTATATTCTATATAGTAAATATTAATTAGACTATAAATATAGTAATAAGAATATTAAGCCTTAAACTCTTATCTCTACTAAGATTACGCCTCTAAAGAGCTAAAAGAAGCGTAATAAGCTATAGTAGTAGAGGCGTACACTAGAAGAGCCTAAGAGCTATATTTAGACAGCTACTCTACGTACTAAGTATAACGCTAGATAGACTAAGCTAAACTCTAGAAGCAAGAGCAAGAACGTATATTTCTAGACCTTTTAATTAAAATCTTGTTTCTTCTAAGTAACTCTTTATATCTACTAGGCTAAATATAATATAAAGAATAAAGTTATATAAGTAGAGCTCTATTCTCTTATTCTTTTTCTTCTACTACTACTTCTCTTCTATTCTATTCCTCTAGCACGCTTAGCTCTTCTTTTTCTTCTTTCTAATATCTACCTAGCTCTCTATTCTAAGCTCTTAGTTCTTCTAGTATCTATACTTAGATATCTATAACTTTATCTATACAAAATCTAATATTCTCTAACTAAATATATAAAGATTTAAAGTGCTACTATAGCTAATCTATAGTAGCTTTATATACAGCCTATTTCTTCTTAAAATCTAGTTTCTTCTAATTATTCTAGATAGAATGTATAAGAATATATAGCTCTTATAACCTTCTTATTTTCTACTCTATTACTATAATACCTTAGTAGATTTTACACTATAGTTACTATCTAGTATATATACTTTTCTTAGCCTACGCTAAATAGCTATTATAATTTTAGACACTCTACACCTATTTCTTAGTAGTTCTAATCTTTACTACTCTAAATATTAGTAGTATTACGCTTTAACACCTTAAAGGCTTTATAGTAGAGTTTACTCTCTTCTATATATATAAGGTTCTCTACACCTTCTTATAGTAGCTCTTAGAAATACTAAGAGAATAGTATTAATATCTATAGTCTATACTATGCTAGATAAAAGTATACGCGTAGTAACTATACTACAAAAACTAGAGTAGTTATATACCTAGTATAGCGTAAGCTTGTAAACCTTCTCTTATATCTTCTAAAGTTATAATAGCCTTTTAACGTTTACTTCTAAAGCGTTATTTTTATAGTTAAGTTAAAACTATAGCTATTAGTATACTTAGAGAGTATAATAGCTATAGTATAATAGAAGTTATATAGTTAACGTACAAAGAGAACAAAAACTAATATATTAAGTGTTATTTAAGGCTTAATGCTTAGTATTTCTAAAGTCTATAGTATAATTTCTAGTAGATCTACTAACTTTTATTTTATTTATAGCTCTAAGAAATTCTATATATAATAATATACGTTGCGTAAGTATCTATACTTAATAAGAGAAAGCTAAAGAGTGCCTGCTTTCTCTAAACGTATAAAAAGAAAAGCCTGTTAATACTTACTTTTCTTTATATACTATTACTATAACTCTGCCTCTATATATAGTACTTCTAAACCTACCTTAGTGCTATATATTATAAAAAGAGGTATACGTTTATAAACTTTATTTTTAATAGGCTTTTTAACTCTAGTACCTATATAGAGATACTAACCTAAGGTTAAGTTAGCTTCTAGATTTTAGCCGCGCAGGTTTGTGTTTATAACTTTACCTCTTAGCGCCTAATTCTGCACAGGAATCAGCCGCCAAGTCTGTAGTCGACGCGCGATGCATGCACAGTCAGACGTTCCAAAGGCTTGTACGCATCAGGGCCGGAATGCTGTAATCAGGGCGAGTCGTGTGGCTTTGTCGCATGCCAAGCTAGATGTCACGGCTAGGCTTTACCCACAAGGCACGCCTTACCCGTCGATACTAATCAATTGCTGTTTCTGCGAACTCAGGTCCGGATGCGCATCTGGGAAATGCGTTAATCGTGTAGGCAACCGTTCGATAGCAAGATCGCTTGCGGGTATCCTTGTGCGCTTTACATCCATAATGTCGTGGTACCTGGCTCCCACGTAACGTCGTAGTTCGGCTTACGGAAGCAAAGCTAAATATAGCTTTCACCGCCTAGTCCTGATCAGATAGGGGATAAGAAGGAGCAAGCCAATAGATAAAGCAGAGGGACTCTACATAAGCGCATAATTGATGGGAAAGCGATGCCATCAAACTCAAATGTTGAAGTTGACAATATACATAGAAGGAGTGAAGTGCAAGGTCGACAGCGGGGAAGGCTTGACCTCGGGAAGTGCGGGGCGCTAAGACCGCCTTGGCTTCACCCGACTGGCCGCCTCTATCGCCAGAACTTCATCACTATCTCCCTATCCCACCTTTGATAAGCTCATCGACGCGCATAACAACTCGCGGTCCTCGAAATGTCGAGATGCGTGATCGACTATCCTTTCGAGTTACGAGTGCGTGCTCAGAACGCTTCTATACTCTTCCAAGGCCAGTCGAAACAGCATGTCGCGCACGATCCGCATAGCCGCTGCACAGGTTGGTGCAGTCCATCGCACTGACATCCGTGGAAACACAATAGACCGACTCGTCCGTCTTCTCCATCAAGCCGCTGAACAAAGCGCACAACTTGTACTATTCCCAGAATGTACTTTCACTACCTTCTTTCCTCGTCATCTCATCACCAATGAAGCGGAACTAGAGTCGTTCTTCGAACATGGCGATGTAACTACAGCAGAAAATACGAGACCTATCTTCGAACGAGCCAAGCAGTTGGAGGTCGACATCTGCATCGGATTCGCAGAGGCCACAGATGACGGTGACCACTACAACTCCTGCGTCTATTATCACGCCAAGTCCGGATCTATTCTGTCAAAGTATCGAAAGGTGCATTTACCCGGAGACGTTGACCCTTTCCCGGAGCCCGATGCCGTCAACCAACTTGAGAAGCGATACTTTAAGCCGGGTAATTTGGGTTTTGACGCCTTCCGAGTACCCGGCCTGGTGGAGACCACACCTGAACACGGCGAGCCCATCCTCGGCATGATGATATGCAACGATCGACGGTGGGCAGAAGTTTGGAGGTGCTTGGGTCTTCAAGGCGTCGAAGTCGTTCTCGTGGGCTTCAACACGCCAGGTTTTGCCCCACAGATGTGGGGTGCATCCGCCGACGTGAGTCCAGCTGAAGCACGTGCGGAGGCCATCTTCCATCACAAGCTAGTCATGCAGGCCCACTCATACACCAATGCGTGCTACTCTGTCAGCGCGGCGAGATGCGGGTTGGATGATGGAAAGTACGATCTGGTAGGAGGCTCGACTATCATTGGACCAGATGGCAAGATTATGGCTGAGAGTAAGACGGAGGAGGATGAGATCATCGTCGCCGATTGCGACCTTGATAGATGCCTACCAGGCAAGACGCGGACGTTTGACTTTGCGAGACATCGACGAACGGAGCATTATGACATCTTGACTTCGCAAACGGGAGTTGTCGAACCGCCGCGACTAGCACAATCGGAAAAATCGCATCATGGAACCAAGGCTACCGCGAGCGATAGTAAACGTAAGCCGCTGGCTTCCGTCACAGGCACCAGATCTCCAAAGCACATTCGCATCCTCCTCTGCAACCCCAACGCTACTAAAAGAATGACAGACGCCTGTCTAGAAACACTCAAACCAACACTCCCACCCGACGTCACCGTGTACGGCTTTACAGCCCCTAAACCAGCGCCATCAGCTATCGAATCAAGCTTCGACAACATCATGTCCGCAGCTGCCGCCGCCCGAGCTATCATACCCGTTGCAAATCAGTATGACGCATTCCTCATAGCTTGCTACAGCGACCACGGACTCAGAAAGGTCCTTCGTGAAGAACTCTCGCAGCCGGTAGTTGGTATTATGGAGGCCTCACTGTTCGCTGCACGAACGCTGGGTGGTCGGTTCGGCATCATCGCAACGACGCGACGATCGCAGCATACGCTGGAGGACTCTGTGAAACACTACGGTCTGGAGTCTTTCTGCGCTGGTGTGAGGAGTTGCGATCTCGGGGTTTTAGAACTTGAATCGAAGCCCGAAGAGGAAGTGCTTGGTACCATGTGCGACGTAGGCAAGAGGCTGGTTGCTGATGGTGCTGATGTTTTGACCCTTGGGTGTGCTGGCATGACAAACATGAAAGCTGCTGTTGAAGATGCGGTTGGAGGTCATGTGCAGGTAGTTGATGGTGTACTGGCCGGTGTACACCATCTGGTTGGTCTTTGCAGACTTGGGATGCAAACGGCTAAGAGGGGTATGTACGCGAGCGCGGAGATAGATAGAGCGAAGAGGCCAAGCTTGGTATTGGATGCGTTTGGTACATGAAAGCATGCATGGAAACATCACGACGGTCGGTGTAGCATGAGCATCACGTATATATGCTGGCTCAAGTCCAGCGCAACCTCGTAGTTATGCCAAAATCATCTCTCACGTATTCAAACATCGTGGAACATCGACATGGCTGGAGAACAACCATCCGAACAGTCTACGGTCAAGCCTGTGGCATCAGAGACTGAGAATATAGAACGCTTTGCCGAACACGTCAACGAGCGGAAGAGAAAGCGTAATCTATGGGGTCAATACGTGGACGAGCAGTCACGCAGGAAGTGTGATGGAGAGAAACCTGTTCATACACCAGATCTTTCTGTGTCTACCAAGTCGAAGGGAACACAGACTGATGATACGCCTTATGTCAAAGAGCCGGACGTTGATGGAAGCACAAAAATGGACGAAAGCACGAAAGTTGATGGCTCCACTGGAAGTGATGACAAGGACGTGAAAGAGGAGAGCGTGAAGCTGTCCAGCGAGGGTGGAGACGAAGATGGGTTCGTCAAGACGCCTTGCGTTGGTGGAGTACCCGAGGAGCAGGATAATATGGACTTGTACGAGCCGTAATGCGACAACGACGAAATTGGTGATCGTCTATCGTCAATAGCTGATTGCAAGGCGTTTACAGTTTCTGTCATGGTCTACATAGCCGTTTGTACCCGCCCGTTACTCTCATAAATTGGCAGTCTACGAACGACCACTCGTCTCAACTCGTATATGAAAACCGCTCCTCTTCACTGTCACCCCACCCGCTCACTATCTCAGTTACACTTCCATCCCCTTCCACACCCCTCTTAAGAAGATATCATTCTAATTCTCTACCGTAATGTCTGAACCACCTCCCGAAAAGGCTGCTGAACCTTTTAAGCCTCTCAAGAAACGCTGGCCTTATTCGGACTTTGTAACGAAAGGCTCTCGGGATAGCTCCGTTAAGAAAGAGATGCCTCCAATAGATAAGATAAGTAAAGTCCTAAACAATAGTCCAACAATAAGGGTTGCGAAACCATATATCCCGGATAAAGAAAAGAAAGAAGAAGGCAACAAAGCAGAAGAAAAAGAGGAAAAAGAGGAAAAGAGTAGAGATGAGAAAGGTAGTGGCGTAAAGGACAGGGTTAGGCAGTTCAATAGTATGCAATAATGTCATAACGGTAGTTGAAGTACGCAATACATTTAACTAGTCAAAACATTTACGCCTTCAATCATGTAGCGGCTCAAGACCAGAATAAACAGCAGTTCATGTCTATATAACGACTGTGCCACGATACATAACATTCATTAATCATGTTTCGCGATAAACTATGCGTTATCGAATCACAGTGTCACTCGCAAACCCTTAGTCTTCTAACTACAGCACCTACCTATCTTCTTAAAGGCGCATTATATATCTCTTCCCAGTTCATCGTCCGCGACTAACTATTTAACCAGGCTCATACACTTAAGACACACGCTTATCTAGTAAGCCTTAGAAACTCTAAGAATATGCCAAGCTCCTTACCTGTTTCAAATGCGAAAGTAAAGATAGAACCGCGCAAAGCAGGTCGGGCGCTACCTAAGAAACGGGAGAACAACAGAAAAGATCATATAAAAAGCAGAAACAGTAAGAGTAACGTTAAAAAGGAAGAAGAGAAAGAGGATAATAGAAATAAGGATAAGAGCAACTATCACTTAGAGACTTAGGTGCAGTTTTTAAAGAGATCGGGGACGTAATTGCGCAAGAGCGCAGCTGTATCTCATAATAGAAGTATAGTGCCACATAGAATAGGAAAGATAAAGGTGCTACAGTGCGTGTCTAGGCAAACATATTTTCCTTTCCGACACTCTTGCAGGATAGTTTAGGACAGATCCCGTTTTGCGATATTCTACATAACCGCTTCTTCTTTGCTATAGTACAAGCTAGATAATCGTTACTAGATGCTATAAAATCCCGTGTTTCCTCTCAGCTAGTCGCCACCACACTTCGCAAGACTACTAGATCATCGCCCTTTAACAACCATTTCGTTATACAAGGCTAGCAAAAGGTCTACAAAACCAAAAGAGAACCCTAAGCCAGTTTAGCTGCCGCAGCTAGCGGAGTGTTCGGGGAAGAAGCCACGAAAACAAACAACACTACCACGCAAGATCCCTCCACAGCACAAGAACTATACCTGCCTACTAGAATTAGCGGCTTATACATCTCGCCCACTATACAAGCCCTCCCCAACTGCATAGAGATCGCGACACGCCTACCTAGAGCTACCGAGTATCGCATCCAATAGTCGTCCAAAGAGGAATTAGCTCGTAATAACACAGTCACTATACTAACCGTTAAGAACGTAACTCACAAAACTATTAACAAGCATAGCAGAACCGGCGCATATGTTCCTAGCATATTCGTCGCAAATAAAGAGGTAGAGCAATTACTGCTAGTTATTTAGACGACAGAGAAAGGAACAGCGTGTCTAACAAACTGCACTACTTTTTAGTATAGTACAGAATACAACGTATAGTAAGCTATATATATAGAAGCTATTAGAGGCCTATACTATAACTATACGTAGTAATAGTAAAGAAGTTATACTATAGCTAGTATAGTATATAAGCTAGATTTATTAAATTTAGGTCTATAAGGCCTAAAGTAGCTTATATAGATAGTTTTTTAGTATTATTATAAGTATAAGTACTATTAAAAACGTTAGAAGTAAGTATAAAGTAGTAGTATAGAGGTAGCTAGTTAAGGTAGCTATATATATAAATATTTACTCTTTTCTACTAAGCTAAACCTAATTAGACTAAGATAGACTTAATTAGATAGTATAATATATATAGAGGCCTTAGTAACTATAGTATAGCTACTAACGTACTATATATATAGCTATACGTATAATAAATAAAACTAGGCTATATATACCTCTAAGAGCTTTTAAAAGTACTATACTATAGTTTATTAGATACGCTAGAAAGAAAAGAATATAATTATACTTATTATACCTATAGATTAAGAGAGTAATTAGAAGAGTAATAGAACTAAGGTTAATAGATATGTAATAGTTAAGAACTAATAATTAGTTAGTAACTGCTGTTGTATTCTTGCAGTAGGGGATGTTGTAGTTAGGTTTACTACGCACTTACTATCTGCTATCTCTTATGGAAGTCGCTTATAAACATGTTCTCAGACCTTCCTCTCTTCCAAACACAGGTTTAGTTGTTGTTTTCTAGATCAATCTCTCAAATAGTTTGCGGACGTGAGATCATTCTCGCAGTTGTTCTTCAGGAAGCCCGTCGTTTGGCTTGGTGCAAACCTACCTGGGCAGTGACCACTAACCACTTGTCAGAACAACGCCCCTTCCACCTTTCCTAGTCAGCAAAGCCCGCTTCCAACCCTGGAAATCCCACCTCCCAAACAGACCATCCATCACTTCTCACCAACTTATCCACTTATCGACTCATCCACTCATCCCACCATGCCCAGACCGCGCATAGTCGACCTAGAAAATCGAATCGCCGAACTCACCGCCCAGCTAAGAATTGTCACAAAAGAACTATACTTCCCCATCCACATCCGCGGCGTGTACGTCTCCCCCACCAGAGATACACTCAACGGCACCATCTCTATGACGGTTGAGCGGCTAGCACGATCGGAAAACGGAGAGCTGCAGCCCTATACCCCTCCCTACCCGATACAGTTGTCGAACTCGGCGTATGCAGGACACAGACCAGAAGACATGGTGGACATGCAAGGAAGGGTGGGTGTGCGGCTGCCTGGTGTGTTTGTTGCGCCGGAAGAGGTGGAGACGCCGATTGTGATAACTTGGACACCATTCGCGGCGGGGATGAAAAAGACGGTGGTGAGGGTTGGGGATCAGACGGATGAGGATCGTGTGAGGTGATATGGGTAGGGAAGGGAGTTTGGGGAAGAGGTTTGATACCCTGTGGGGTACCTGCGCAGATGTGGGCCTCGGGAGAAGGATGAGCTGAGCGAGTAGTAGCAGGCGCCGAACATTGATACTAGAAGCTGCCTACTCCAGCCGTTCGAAGCGAGAAGAAGTGCCATTGTTATCTTACTCCACTGTTCAAGCGAAGCGCTGATTTAGTGTTCACTGCGCACTTACCATTCCCCATTTCCACGGAAGTCGCTCGTCAACATCCTCAAACCCACCTTCCTTGCAAAGACATCACCTTCCAGCAGCTGCGTCCTCGCCGATGCGCACGTCTCATGCACCCCAACATCAAGCCATCACACCACACAAGCCCCATCAATCAACGTACCGCAGACCCACTTACTCCCATTACTTCCATCTATCTATACAACGAAACGCGCTCTTCTCACCCATCTCAACCCACTCAGATCTCTTACCATCACCACTACCACCCCTCTCCATCCACCTCATCACCCAACCACATCATGCCTCCGCCTCCGTCATACAGATCTCAACTACAAAAAATGATCCACGATCACACTGAGTCACTCCGAGACAGCAACCCCCGGCTCTACGCCGCAACGAAAGAAGTCGATGATCTCAAAACGTCGCTCCGGGACAGCGACGCCCGACTCTACGCCGCAACGAGAGAAGTCGATGATCTCAAAACGTCGCTCCGGGACAGCGACGCCCGGCTCTACGGCGCAACAACAGAAATGCATGCGATAACCCCGTTCCGCGGTATCTACGTCTCGCTCGACCCCAGTGCCTTCTCAGGCCAAGTCCAAGTACAAATCAAGCTGCCGGGGGAAACGCAGTACAAGATCCAGTGGTCGACCTAGGGCGACGACCTTGGGATTATGTCGCGCCGTGGAGACAAGAACATGCATGGGAGACATGGGATACGGTTGCCGGGGCTGTTTGTGGATCGAGAGGAGGTGGATAGGTCGGTGCTGATTTGCCATACCACTTTGCAGGGGATTAGGACGTGGATGAGCTTTGAGGCGAGGGGTGAGCAGGTGACTGGGTAGGGTGGTGGTGTGGATGTGTGTGCAGATGGGGAGATGGGTGAGACGAGTGGATGGTAGCGGGTGATGATTGAATCCATGCGCAGGTCTTGTGCTTTCCAAAAGTGCATGCTGTCAGATCACGATCCGGATGTCATCTGCCATGACGCAGATACTATAACTATCAATCGTCAGTACAACAAAAACCCGTTCTTCATCCTTAAGTACCTCAATCCCCGATTAAATTCCGTAGCATCACCACAAATATTACCAAAGACCCAAAATACTCTTTGCCCCCTTCTTCTTACTAGTCCACTCTACCATGACAACAGTACCAGCACTCAAGGCCGCCCTCAACAACGTCAACGCGCAGCTCACAGTGCGGGACGCCCAACTCGCCAACCTCAACACGCAGATTACCGACCTCAAAACGCGACTCAACAACCAAAGCTCGCATCTCATCCAAGCGGCACAAGAGTTATACGTGCCCATGATTCTCCCTGGCATGTATGTCTCGCTCAACCCTGGACATTTCTCTGGTGAAACCCAGATAGTGCAGCATGTGCCCGAAGAGCAGAGGATACCTGCGCACTATGAAGAACTATGGTCGTCGGCCTGGCCGCGAGATAACCTTTCCGATGTGCAGTATAATATGTATGGGTGGCACGGAACACGTGTACCAGGTCTTTTTATCGATAATGTAGCAGTTGATCGGTGGGTGATCATTAAGCATACGTTCGGGGGCAAGACGACGTGGGTGACTTTTGACGAAGGTGGTCAAGGGGCTATTTCGTATGTGTAGACGAACTTATTAGTTTGCAGTGCTTCTAAGTATGGTCTGGGCATGTGAAAGCAGTTTCGTGATTAGATCGCTCGAGATGTGATTACCAAATGACATGGCTATCCTAAAAACCTTTGTACAAGCATTTAAAACTCACAAACCACGAACCCAATAATCACCAGCATCAACCATCACACAACTACATGTCCGCTTGTGACATCAAGCATAGCAAGCACGCATCTGATCCAGCGCAAATTAATCCACCATCAACAATGAGAATAAAAAGACGCACTTGGTCATTGATACGCCTACATCCATCGACCCATCCCCCCTTCCCACACAGCCCATCATTCTAATCATGCCAGCAAGAACCATGACCAGACTGGAAATGATAGCCGACACCCAGAACAGAATGCTCGAGGGAATAACCAAAGAACGCGACTATGCGATTACAGAGCGAGACGCCGCAATAAAAGAACGAGACGACGCAAAACAGGACCTCTACATCCCCACCGCGACCCGTGGCCTATACATCACCGCCTCCCCACCCTCCCCCAACCCCCTCACAGAAGTACTACACGACCTACCAAATGACGAACTAGAACTCGTTTGGTCCTCTACTTGGAGATCAATTCATCCAGAAGTGCATCAGAGGAGCGAAGAAGAAGTGACAGTCAACATGCATGGCAGGCTTGGCACACGAGTACCAGATGTATTCGTTGCGCACGAAGAGGTGGAGAGGCTGATGCGGATATGGTACTCTACCGAAGATGGAATGGCGGTGGTGAAGATGCACAATCTGAATATGGAGCGGGACGGTATTGGGGAGGTGTACAGGAGGTGGAGTGGCATGCGAGGGGGGGTTTGTGAGTGAGCTGGGGAGAAGGATGAGGAGCGATGGATGTTGGGTTGTGGAGATTAGGTGGGATATTCGTCGATGATAGATATGATTGCCGGTATCGCACATCCTATCAGCCCGCCTCCGTTTGTCAAGCACCCCCCTCCCTTAAATCCACAAACCACAAACCCACCTCTCCCCCTTCATAAAGCACAGCCCGTCCACCTCAGAAACATGTGAACTACGCATTCCCACATCCACATTCCACCTCTCCACCCTCATCTCATACCTCAACGTACCACATCCCACCCAACCCAAACCATGGATCCCAACGACAAATGGCTTAATGGTCAACGTTACCGGTGGTGGGGAAAAGGAAAGCGCGACGCAGACAAGAACAATGATGCCAACAGTACGAAGAAGGACAGTAACCACAGTAACCAGAGGAAAGAGGATGAACGAAACGACAACGAGGAAGCACAGAAACAGGAACGCGGTGTTGATGAGGAGAAGAAAGCAGAAGAAGAGATAGACAAGGACGCAAGGAAGAAGGCTGATAAGAAGGCTGGTAAGAAGGAAGAAGGCGAACGATTGGCGAGGATCTTTGAAGACGAGTTGGGATTGAGGAAGAGACGATGAGAGGACGATGTCATGTGAGTAGATGAGCAAGAAAGGTCACAAGGATACCATGTAGTCCTGGCATAAGACCGAACACACCGGAGACATCGAAGCTCGACTAGCAAACACCAGAGTCTGAGGATTGCTATCTCTCTCATTTGATGAGGATTACATTTGCGTATGTGGTGGTTATGTATTTCGGGAGTTATGAGTGGCTCGTCTCGCTCTGCGTCATCGCAGTACCATGGATAGGATGGAAGGGAACCCTAGCAGACACAATCGGACAAGACCATGCAAGACGAACAGAACACGTTTCTATAGACTAATACTCGTACAAAGCCAACCGTAGTGCCAGGAACAATAAAAAGGAGGAGTACAAGGTATGTCCACAGTCGCGTCTAGTCAATGAGCAAGCTATTCAACCTCGCCTCCGTAGCAATAACATCCAACGCCTGCTTAACCTCCAGCACCCTCCTACACTCGCCCAACCAATCCTTACTCAACACCTTAGCCCACCCTTGTAGTCCATTCATTTCTCTAGCCGCAGCATCGAGATCACCCTCCTCGAGCAGAACCTCCGTCCGTGCAAGCACAGCCTCAACATCACCACCAACAGCCAACCCGGACTTCTTGAACAGCACCTTCGACATGGCTAGGGAAGCGAGATGGGACGCCACACCCGCGTCTTCAGGCAACAGAGCCGCTTTCCTGACTTCAGACGCGACGCGGCGGAAGCGGTCGATTAGGAGGGCCGAGCTGGGGATACCGCGTTGGTAGGCGGCGGGGTTGATGCTCGCGATAGCGGCGCTGACGACGGGATCATCGGCAGCGATTTCCTTGAGCGCCGCGAGCTCGGTGACAAAGGGCTTGGGGATGGCTTGTGTCTCAAGAGCCGACTTGACGGCCTCGACGGCGACGACGAGGTGCTGCGTCTTGAGGTTAGCGTCGACGACGCTATTCCACTCGGCAGTCAGCTTCTCGAGCTCGTGCACGGACGAGGAGAGCTCGTTGAGCTTGCCGAGACGGCCGTCGCGTTCGGCTTCGACGCGCTCCCGGACGTTGGCTGTGAAGGACTTTTGCATGTTGATGCTCTGTTCCAGGAGTTGGTTCTTGAGCTTCTGGTCGTAGACTTTTTGGGCGGCCTGGAGTTCGGACTGGAGGCGCTCCTTGTAGGATTGTGACAGACGCTCGCGCTCGTTCTCGAATTCCTCCTTGAACTGGGCTTCTTGCGCCTGCATCTGGTGGTCGAGGCGCTGGACGAGCTCCTTGGCGGCCTCGTCGAATTCGGCGTGGGCGGCCTTGACCTTGTCTTCGGTCTGCTTCTGGAGGCTCTCCTTCATCAGGTTGATGTCGGAGACGACCTTGGCGAGCTCGCTCTTGGCCTTGTCCAGCGCAGAGTTGTACCTGCCGTCGTGGGCGTTGTCGGCGTTGATGACGGTGATGATGTCGTTGACGATCTTGACGACATCCTGGACGACAGGCTCGGTGGCGGAGGGTACGCTGAGGTGGTCGAGCTGGGAGATGGGCGTGGCGGTCTCCTTGACCTCCTTAACTTCCTTGACAGGGGCCTTCTTCTCCGCGGGTGCGGGTGCGCTTGATGAGACCTTCGGCTGTTGTCCGCCCGACTCGGTCTTGTCCTGGGGCTTGTTGGCATCGACGGCGCTCAGATGGGGGCCCTTAGAGGCGAGGTCGCTCTTGTTCTCCTGGGCTGGGCGCGCAGTCAAGCCGCTCCGTCCGGGGATGGTGACCTTGTTCTCGCCCGAGATCTGGGGGTGCAGTCGCGGTTCGCCAGCGCGGCCGGGGAATCGCCGCCTGAACTCGCGCTCCTCGAAGTAGGCGACGGCATCCTCGCCGTAGGGGATGTATTCGGTGAAGAAGTCGTGGAAGTTGTCCGACACGAGCGAGTACCAGACACCGCCGGCGTACCCGAGGCCAGAGAGGACTGACAGCCAGAGCAGCAGCTTGCGGAATATGCGTCTCTTCTTCTTGGGCTTGGGCTGGATGGGGTCGGGGGCGATGCTGGCAGACCCGGGGCCGGTGGGGGGTGTCGTCTTGGGCGATATGGCGGGAGCATCACGCGACGCGCCTGCAGTCACGGAGCTGTCGGGCGCCGGCGGTGCCTTGGGAATGTCCGAGGTGGGAATGGTGCCCTTGGGGTCCGAGGGCGAGGTGGTGGGCGCGGGATTGGGGACGGCCGTCTCGCCCAGGTTCTTGCTATCGGCGTAGCAGCGCTGGACTGGGAGCCATTGCGGGCGGGCGGCGCGGGCCAATGGGCGGGCAGCTGGACGGGCCCGTAGGATGGAGGCGCGCAGCATAATGGGCTGCCTCCGAATGGCTTTAGGGTGATGGGGGAGGTAATTCGGCGTTGTTGATGGGCTGGATGTCTGCCAACATGAAGATTTGGAGCTCGACCAACACACGTCAGGGTGCACGGACTCTCGGCAGTCCCAGGTTATCGCCCGCCGCACCCACACGCTCCCACGACAACTCACCACCACTCCAAATTTGATGACAGCCAACAACATGCTGTGCCAAATCCACTCACACTCACAATCTTGCTCAATGACTAACCGCAGCTTCACTTCGGCTTCCCTTGCCGCGCGAGCCCACGGTTACTGATCCAAACTTGCAGCCACCCACTCACAGCGCCTGTTGTTATTCTGGTCGAGAGCAATGTACGGTTGACTGCTAACGGAGTTTTCATACGGATTCCTTTATATACTGTCGATTGTTTCTCTCTCTCTCATTTCAACCATCTCTCTCTCACAACACTTCTCACATCAAAATTCTATCCAAAGCAGACCCCAACTGAAACCAGTCAAGTCAGCCCAGCCTGCGCCATCTTGCAACGTCAGCACATTACGGCCACCATCACAAGCTACACCAGGCAGCCGCATTTCCAAACTCTCCATCACCCGCGCACTCTCACACAGCTTTCGAGCGCCTGAGATCGTCGCAAAAAGCCAGACCCACCTTCCAGATCCGTCTGCAGGAGCAAATTCCGAGTGTGGCTTTGTCCTCGGCTACCTTTACTCCGTCTCAACAAACTACCGCCAGCAACACACGGCCAGCGCAACTCTAAATTTTCAACTTCTGGTCAGCTGAGCATTCACACCGAACACCTGTTCGCATACCACGGGCCGAGAAAATCTCCCCAACAAAACCCTTCGCACGAGACAAAGATCTCCGCGAAATCCCAAACCCCGCCAGCAACACAGCCAGCACAATTTGAAATTTTCAACTTCTGGTCAGCTGAGCACTCACACCGAACACCTGTTCGCAGCATACCACGGGCCGAGAAAATCTCCCCAACAAAACTCTCGCACGAGACAAAGATCTCCGCGCAAAACCCAAACCCCCGCGAAAATTTAAACACACCCCCGCAAAAATGTCTACCACACCATCATCCCACAGCTCCGCCACCGCGCGCGATGCCACAAACTACTCCTACGATCTCAGCAACGCGATATACGGCGCCTTCCCCAGCTGCGCAACCGATATCTCGCCGCGCAGATCACGCGCCGCATCTCCAAGTTCCGCGTCAAACTCAAACTCTTCAAAGAAGCGCAGCAGCACAGCCCGCATGACTACAAACAGCACTACCACTACCACTACCACAAACCGCACACTCTGCCGCCAAGCCATAAGTCTGCACCGCGAAAACGCGCCCCCAACCTGGCTGCCCGCACCCAACCCCACCAACACCAATAAACGCAGTGCACTCGCGAGACGCCAACAAGGCCAGCAAGGCATGAATATCCACGCTAGCACGTGCCTCAACCTCAATGCCAGCGCCGAAGAAGACTGTTCCGAAGCGGATTTGTGGATTTTGCCTGAGCTTGATGATTGGGAAGAAGATGAGACTGAGACTGAGTCTACGATTCTAACGCCTTCGAGTTCTGCGGAGTTTGACGCACCAGTGACTGGAGGACCGGAGAACAAGTGGGCTGGAGTACTACGCCGCGCCGCCAACTCGAACCTTGAGCGACTGCGCAACCGCCTGGAAGGTGATGGATGGGACTTTGTTAAGGCCGCCAACCAGGACGCCGAGGATTTGGATGAGGAATTCGACGTCGTTATTTGTGGCAAAGAGTAGGGGGATGAGTATGTCGGGCGACTACGAGGGGGTTCACGATTACGAGTTATGCGGTGTTTATTGGTGGAAAAGCGACTTCACTATTTACGATACCCAATTTTTGATAGAGTTTTGAATGAATTGTGTACTTCAAACCGAGTCTTTGGAAATTGTGTGCATGTGCATGGTGATGATGTATACCTCAAACCACATTTTACATAAACATGTTGTTGTGAATGTTCCTATTGTATCCCCCAACCAAGATTATTACAAAAACATACTAAAAAACTTCTAATTATACATTTCCATCCCAACCAACCGTCCCTTCACCCAAACCTCCCTCTCTACCCACCCTCCCCTTCCCTCCCCTTCCCCTCCCCTTTACCCCCTCTCCCCCCATCCCATCTCACAAACCCAACCCGCACCTACTCAATCCTCTTCTTCCCCTCCTCCAACCCCAATAACCTCGCATCACTCTTCCCGCGCTCATGTTTCGCGCTACCACCCACAAGCGGCCCGACAACAGGGTTATTCCTTACTTTAGCCAGCGTTTCCTGGAAGGCTTCGATTTGCGGGGGTTGGCGGTTGAGTTTGGGGAAGTTGACCTGTTGGAAAGAGAGAGGGTTAGCGAGTGTAATCTCTTACAAGTGGGAGGATGAGAGTGTGGGAAGGTGGGATGGAAGGATAGGAAGGAAGGAAGGGAAGAAGAAGGGGATGGAAGAAGAAGGGGATGGAAGATAGGAAGAAGACTTACATATAACGTCCCATGATTCCAAATGAAATTCGCGCAGACTGCCGCGGTGAGGAGGGAGATCAAGAGGAGAAGCCGTAACGGCCAGACCGCCGCGTCAGGTGCGCGCCGAGTGAAGCTACCGACGAAAATAAAAAACACAGCTGCGGCGAGAATATACGGTATCGACTGGATGAAGAGCGGTCTCCGATCCGCGAAAAGAAGTTGTCCGCTCATACCCGAATCACTCGGAAGATAATTACCCAGAAAAAGATCAAACGCATCCTGTCTCGGTCCATCGGTGAAGTTATTAAGACAATACCTCGTGATACTATTATTCAGATCCTGCAGCGCACCAGCCTTTGTCCTTACACCCAAGCGTGTGAAATCGGTCTTTAGGGCTCCAGTACCAGAATATGATTTCGACACCACATCCGCGTTATCGGCCCAGACGTTGCGGAACAGGTGTTCGAATGCTTGGTCCTCTTCTGCGGACTCGCCTTCGCGCATGAGACCGCAGTCGATGAGCATGCGGCTGAGGACGTAGCGGCCTAGCATACTCTGGACGACGTTCGTACGGTCGAGACAATCCATGCAGTTCGTGCGCACCACAGCCGTCTGGTGCCGTCGGACTTCCACGCCGGTGCCGTCACCGGGCATGTCGACGCCGCAGAAGTAGCCGTGCTTGAGGATGTGGGGTTCGAGTTGGTTCATGAGGAGTTTGGCGCGGTCCCACCGGAGCCCTTTAGTTTCGTTGTGAAAGTCGAAGTAGACGTAGTGGAGGCGGTCGTATACGGTTTGCGCCTTGGCGGGGTCGATGATGTGGAATTTCTCAGAGGTGATGCGGTCGCCTTCGACATTTTCGGCGGGGGAGGTGTGGAGGAGGTTGACCATTTGCTCGTAGGCTTCTTTGACGCGCTGCTCGCGGCCTTTTTGGTTGACCAGGTTCACCATCCAGTTGTCGCCGTAGAGCCGGATTTGCTCGGCGAAGTGCTTCTTGGCGGCTGGCAGCGCGTTGTCGATGCCGCGGACTTGTAGCTTGGGCGTGTATTTTAGGGTGTTGATTTCGGCCCAGTAGACGGGCACGCTCCCTCTTGTTTGCACGTATGCAAGCACCTGTGTCTCCTTTCCGGCATTTCCACCTGCTGCGCCGTTCTGGTTTGAGCCGAATCCGCCGGGGCCGCCCGATGCGTTGTCGTTCAGGATGATGGTCTGCTCCGTCTCGTTGAAGTTGGACACGTTGCCGTTCTCGTCGATGCCGCGCGAAAAGTAGCGGGTTCCCGCCTTGAGGCGCGAGCGGCGGGTGATGAGGATGAAGGTGAGAGGGGTGCCCTTGATGGATGTGTTCTTGATTTCGAGCATTCCGTACATGACGGGCAGGATGTAGGGATCCGCGCCCGGCTGGTGTCCGCTCGAGTGCCTGCCATATCCGCCGCTGAGACCTCCGCGGAAGTCGATGAGGTCGCTGGAGACGAAGCGATTCCAGTAGAAGCGGTCGTCTGCGCGCTTCCACAGGGGCGTGGCGGGGTCGAGGTGGGCCTGGCGCTGGAAGGTGTTGGTGATGTCGAAGGAGTAGGAGAAGAACAGCGGGGACGTCTTGATGAGCGTCTTGAGCAGGCTGAGGTAGTTGTCCTCGTCGGCGTCGTGCAGCGGCTTCTCGCGCAGGGAGAGGAACTCGGTCGAGACTATCTTGTAGATCATGTGGCCCTTTATCCGGCCCATGGGCTGGGCCTTGGTAATGACGATGATGTACTTGTCTTCACGTGCATCAGCATTCGTGTCCCCTAGTGCTGTGCAAGAGGCATACCTAGTCGCAGCTTGATCATGCCCAGGATGCCGGCAATGCTCGACACGCGCTTGGAGCCCAGCAGCTTGCCATCGTGGAGGCGGATGTCACCTGACGGGCGGTCTACCACGAGTGTAGGGGCCGAGGGCGAAGAGGGCGACGAGAAGGCGTAGTGCGAGGGCGACGAGTGGACGTTGATGTCGCGGTAGGGGAGAGCGACGCTCATGATGTCGTCCACCGGCGTGTATACGGTGATTTACAGAGTAGGTGCGTGGTGTTGAGTATGGTGTTTGGCGCGATGTGTTTGGATGCGTTTTCTCAAACGGGAGGTTTCGTCATGGCGGCCATTGCGGCCAAGGGTCCCCGACTCGCGCGCTAGGGCCAAGCACCAGACGCAGCACCTCGTCACAGCACCATCCAGCTCTTTCACCCTCACCACACCCCAACACGCCTCTCTCACCCATACCCCGACCCGGTCCCGCCTTGACCGCCCACTACTCGCACCACCACCCTCGCCCACTCTACACCAGCCCCCTCCGCCACAACCCGCTAGCGCCGCGTCACCCCCATCATGTCGGCCAGGATGCAGCAAGGCCAACGGCCCGGAGGCTCCAGATTCGCACAGTTCAAGCTGGTGCTGTTGGGTACGAGATTACTATGATATGTGTATGAAGACATGACTAACCTGCCCAGGTGAATCCGCCGTCGGAAAGGTGCGCAGGCCTATCAAGGCAGCCATGACATAAGCTAACATGCCGCAGTCGTCTCTAGTATTGCGCTTCGTCAAGGTACGCCATACCACATGTCCAGACATGTTCCGAGGACTAATGTATGCAGGACCAATTCGACGACTACCGGGAATCCACCATCGGCGCCGCCTTCCTCACCCAAACCATCGCCCTCGATGAGAACACGACGGTCAAGTTCGAGATCTGGGATACCGCCGGCCAGGAGCGCTACAAGTCGCTCGCGCCCATGTACTACCGAAACGCAAACTGCGCCGTCGTCGTCTACGACATCACACAGGCCGTACGTCTCCCTTCCACCACCCCATATCATGATTAGACTAACACCCCCAGGCCTCCCTCGACAAAGCAAAAGCCTGGGTCAAAGAACTCCAACGCCAAGCCAACGAAAACATCATCATCGCCCTCGCCGGCAACAAACTCGATCTCGTGACCGAATCCCCCGACAAGCGCGCCATCTCCACCGCCGACGCCGAGCAATACGCCCGCGAAGCCGGCCTCCTCTTCTTCGAGACGTCGGCCAAGACAAGCGAGAACGTGAAGGAGCTCTTCACTGCTATCGCGAAGAAACTGCCTATCGACCAGGCGGGACCCAGGAATCTGAGACCGGGCCAGCAACGACAGGGCGTTAACCTTAGGCCTGAGGCGAACCAGACTCAGGGGCCTGGTGGGTGCAACTGCTAGGGTTTGGGGGGATGGGGAATTTGGTTGTTTGGTATATCGCGCGACAGAGATTGCAGAGGTGATAAGAGAAGACGCGATGCGATGTGACTTGGGATGGGTCCATGCTATGTCTGGGTGCCCAGTGTAGCCTTTCTTCGTACGTCTCTCAGTATGTTCATTGTGGGACATTGGTGTGGGCTTATTTGGAGTAAAGGGTTTGTGTTTGATCGCTCGAAGTCCATATTGCTTTGTTCACTCAAGAGAAGATATTTTGGGGCTAACCTGCACCGACCTTTTTTAATTAATGAATTTCGATCAAGTATATCTACCCTCGAGACTTCCATCATTCACATCACTCAGCTCATTGTTGTCGAACATACAGCATCGGACCGACACCCTGGAAAGGCGAAGTCACGGGTGCGTCCCTCTGCGGGAGTAAGCCATGCGAGGTTCCGGCATCTGACTATCAGAACTTCCCAAGCGCAATGGTATAAAAATCGAAAGCCTCCAAGGCAGCCTCCTCAGGCTTCAGAAACTGGTCAATCCATCCGCGCCATCCCCCGTCATGTGATGCCGTAAAAGCGGCTTTGCAGTACTCTCAATAGTCTGGGTACCACCCCGCTTGCTCCCAGTCGACGATAGCCGCCACACGGACAGGTGACTGGGCTGTAACGATAATGTTAGCCGGCCGTAAATCACCATGCGTCAAGACTATAGGTCCTTCGTCGGGGAGCAGCTGTCGCCAGGGGTCTTCGATGCTCTTTGGGTTTGGTAGAGAGGAGTTAGAGGAAGGACAGCCAGTCGTGGAAGGAGGAACGAGTAGGAAAGGGTCTTAGTGATGGCAGACCTTCAAGACAGCGATCCGATCCAGCTTCCTGGCGGATAGACCCTGTATGAACTGTTAGAGGCGTTGCAAACTGATGGGATTACACTCACCAATGTGTGGCTGCAACCCAGAGAATCTAACCTCGCGATAACACGACGTCATGGCTCGAAGATCACTGCAGACTGAGCTTTTATCCGCAGAAGACATCGATTCCCACATCCGTTCAAGCGTAGGTCCTTGTATATGCTGCATGTAAATGAAGGTCTCGCTACTTTTGCCTGCCCGCTCCACGACCCTCCAACCGTAGACTTCAGGCACGGGGACCTTGTCCTTTAAAAGCTTGTTCATCATCCAGAGAGCCACACCTTCTGAAGTATGTACATCGACAGGGTGGGTGGGGGAGGCGGAGGGGCGGTGGGGAGGCGGAGGGGCGGTGGAGGGGAGGATGGGGGATCCTACTTTGTTGGTGTTAGCTGGGTGCGTGAGGGGTATATCGATGATGTTGAGTGTGATTAGTAGGTTGGCTTTATAACGATGTGGTCAAATGGCTGGGCTAAGTGGGGCTACAACTCCATTCCTCGTCACGACACGGCATTGGACTGACATAGCCTCAATATGTAAATTGAACGGTTTTGCTTCAGGGTTACCTGCGGAAGTGGGTTTTGTACAACCTCATTTCCATATTACTTAGGTATCCTACCATGGATACCGCAACCCCCCTCTACCCATCTATACCTCCGCGTCACCTCACACCATATTCTTGTTCTTGTAGTACTCCTCCTGCTCCGCATACGATGCCTGAGCAGATTCGATCAAGAACTTGGTAAGTTCTCGTACATCGTCCTTGTGATACCAGTTTACGAGGAGGTTCTCCACTTTCTGTAACATGGAGTAGTAGGCGGTGCGAGCTTCTTCGATGGTTGTGAAGGATAGGGAGGTGGAGGGAGGGGAGGGTTTTGTGGAGGCTTTGTCTGAGGAGTTGGGGTTGTTGATAGAGTCTTCATCGGAAGAGGACGAGGAAGAGTCTGAGGAGGAAGAGGCTGAGGATGAAGAGTCTGAGGAGTCTGAAAAGTCTGAAAAGTCTGAAAAGTCTGAAAAGTCTGAGGACTCTTCGTCTGAGAGATCGTCGTCCGAGGAGGAATTGTCATCTGAGCACATGTCGTCTGAAGAGCTGTCGTCTGAAGAGCTGTCATCTGAAGAGCTGTCATCTGAAGAGCTGTCATCTGAAGAGCTGTCATCTGAAGAGCTAGCGACAGAAGAGTTGTCGTTAGCGGGGGTGGCAAAGAGGTCAGAAGAATCGTCGTCAGAGGAGCAGTCATTCTCGGAGTCGTACTGCGATGAATGTGATAGGGTGTGTGTTTCCGTTGGTGGGTTGGATGGACTTGAGAGTGTCAGCGGTTGCATCAGTGCCCGCAACGAACTTGGTAATGCAGACTCAGCTTCCTCGGTGTCTTCCTGGTCTTTGTTATCGTCCATATCCTCCCAGTTATCCTCATCATCAACATCATCCACCTCTTGGTCATCGTCCATATCCTCCCAATCGTCTTCATCATCGACATCCTCCCAATCATTCTCATCGTCGACATCCTCCCACTCTTCCTCTTCGTCAACCCCCACATCCTCTCCCTCTTCCCCATCATCATCCCCCACATCCTCCCACTCATCATCACCATCAGCTTCAAGCTCTTGTGTTGACGATACTTCTTCTTTTTCGAGGGGACATGATAGCACGGCTTCAAGCAACATGCCCATCAACTCTCGCAACCTTCTCTCGCTTTCAAGTGCTCTATTGGCCAGACCTCGATCCTTGAAAGCGCCACCACCTTTAAAAGGACGCTTCACGTGTGCTGTGGCTGTAGACATGTTGTGAAAGGACTGCGGGTCTGTTGTTTGGTGGAGCAGGAGTGATTGAATGTAGCGGGATTGTGCGTTGTTAGGATAAGGGTTTGTTGGCGGTAGTAGTGAAGTATTGAAATACGCGTATAGAATGATGGTGTTTTGGACGCTGTGAAGCTACTATACGAGTATCGTGAGCGGATAGTAGATGTACAGTAGGTGTTGCGTGCTGTACGAGAGATATCTGGCTAATGTATACAATGTAAAGGTTGTCCTTGTATTATTCAACACAGATGGTTGTAACATTCGAAGAAGCCGATTAACAGACAATGCAGCCGTTAGGAGGGTTCTTTGAGTGTTACAACCGCCTATCGAGATGTTCTTCGACAGTTTAATACCGTGCGAAGTACTCAGCTCTTCTTAGCTTGAGATATTGAAGAAGTGGGCTGTTTACATAGGGGCATCCCTCATAAGCAATGGTTCTTATGAGGGATTCCCCTATGTGAACAACCCACTCCAACAACATCTCACGCCAACCCCACCCCCCTTCTCTTACCACCCCCTAAGCCAAACCCGTACCAACACTCCAAGTCGCATCCGCGTTGAAACTCGCCGCCGCATCGAAATCATGAACACCACCATTACTAGCAATATTTCCAATATTGTTGTAGTGGCGAATATACCTCGTCGGATACCCCCACGCCCTTATCGAACTCCCCGACCCCGTGAAACCCGCTTGGGGACAGAACGTCGCGTCCTCTTTGAACGCCTTCGACCCATCATTCGCCTGCAGCTGCAACACAAAGTTGAAATGGCGAATGTAACTCCCAGCGGTGTCTTTGGATTCAAACGAGAAGCAAGCACTGTTCGCCAGTCCGGCGCGTACAGTCCAACTAGCCTGTCGCTTGAGCAGTGCGGTGCTGGAGGAAGAAACGACTTGCGTGTTTACGGTTGAGCCGGTGTGAGCGAGGTAGCGATCCGTGTATCCTGCTGTTGTAGCGCGGAGAGAGATTGATGATCCGACTGTGTAGCCAGCTCCGCTGGTCAGGCTCGTAGTCGCATATTTGGCCGCGACGATATTAGCTTGCACAGCGTTCTCCGTCGCATCACTCGGATACCCAGTCGTCATAACGCCCTCGTAAAACGTTCCCTGCGCTCCATTGCTGTTGTCGCCGCCGATACCCAGGATGATCGCGCCTTCTTTGCTCATGGGGTTGTAGCCTGAGGCGCTGGGTCGCGCGCCATTGTAGTACGTTGATAGCGAGCCGGATGCAGCGTTGCCGCCGCGGAGAGCCCACTTGTTTGGTCCGCCCTTTAGGACGGTGGTGAGGAAGCGGTCTGTGAGAGTAGGGTCCGCTGGGTTGTTTTTGGGCGACATGCCGGAGAAGAGACCGTTTTCCAGGTCGGCCATTAGCCAGGGGCCGGAGCCGGCGCCGGTGCCCCATATGGTATTTGTCCCGAAGTAGATAGCCTCCATGTGGCCGTTGCCTGTGCTTTCTGTTAGATATATGCCGTTGATAAGACGATGTGAGAGTATGCTTACCGGTGTCGAGATTGTTCGTCTCGGCGTTGCCGTAGTCGAAACAGCATGCGTCGTTGTAATGTGTTCCGTCGAGGACGGCGTACATGCCCTCTGCTGCATCGCCAGTCGCTGAGCCGCTGACCTTGTTGTTGCGGTATCCGGTACCCGGTGAGACGAAAACACCATATGCCTTCTTCCCATTCAATGTGACTGGTGCGCCGATAGCACCAGCCAGGTTGTCATAGCCATTAGCTTCCGGGCCATTGAAGCCTCCTGGAGGCGCCTGAGTGAGATGGTTACCACGACCAGATTGATCGTAGATAATGGTGATGAGACATGTGGTGTTGGCGCAGAATTTGTCTTGAGTTGCAGCATTAGCTACACCACCGGCGGATAGAGGTGCGACGTTGGTGGTAGCGCCATCGGATCCGCGCTTGACCTGATAGAGGGAACCGCTGAAGGCATTGTAAAGCGCGCGAGTGGTGCTGTGAGCGGCGATGCAAGGCGTGTTACCAGAGGCGTAGATATCGCAAGGTCCAGCGGCAACAAAAGAACCCGTAGCCGCAAGGCCAAGAGCGGCGATCTTGGATGGTGAAGGCATGACTGGCTGTTACTATTATTACCACGAGAGAAGAACCGGGCGATCGTCTGGATCAACCAGAGGATTGGTACATCGCCCGCATTTAAACAAATGTCTCTGCAGCCTCGTTCTTACTGTGTCAATATACATAGTTCGTGTTTGCGTCCGTGGACTAGATGAGAAAGGCAGTTGGAAATGCACGGAGTGCAATTTCTCCTCCAACAGCGGCAAGGCCTGTACTTTTATCAGCCTAAGGACGTCACGAGGTTGCAACTCCAGGTACTCTGGCGTCTGCGCTCCCCGTATTTTGGCTGTAGAGATTGCGGGGGAGACCAGGGTATAAGGCTGTAGCTCCGGAAGATATAAGCTTTGCCGAGGAACACCCATTTGACGAGGCGCTTACCACCTACACATCATCCACCCTCCAACAACACATCACGATCCACCCTCTTTGCTCTCTATCATTTACACCCAAAGATCCACCATCCTCCCCTCCTCCGCCCCTCCGCCTCCCCCGCCCACCCTGAGGGCAGGGTCTAAGGTTGTAGTGCCGGAAGAAATAAGCTTTGCCGAGGAACATCAGTCGGATGACAAGACCTGGGCTAGCGTTTCCAAGAGCCGTCGGAGCACACGCCGTTACACCGCATACACGTGAGAACACTTCCGTAACTTTCCATAACAAGCAGTGTGACTCTTTACAGTTCTGAACGCTCCACTGTCCACAATGAGTCGAGTTGGCCTCGGGATTCGCATCCGATGGCGTTCTAGATTTGATCGTCCTTTTGTGACAGTGCCGACAGGTATGCGTGTGACGTGTAAACCTTGGATGGTTGTTTTGAAACGCGAAGTGAGGTAGTTAATGCAGTTTGAAGCTCGTTGGTGTCAATAGTATCGCGGCGAAGGTTTGCAGGGCCAGATCCGACGCTTACGGCATGCTTATGGTCGGCGCTTTCGCAGTTGGGTGGTTGGAGTTCGTTCAATAGTCTGGCCGATGTTCGCCGGGTGAGCTCAAGGGCTGCGATCCAAGGGTACCGTGGACAGGATGAAGATGGCGCAGAACGCCTTCTCTCACGAATAGAGGGTGCGAAGTTGTTGAGCTGGATCGTTGAAATTCCTGTGCGCGAGGCTAAGAGCTGTCATACTGCTGACATGTTAGCCTTCCGTCATTGACGTCCAATGCGGGCCGCTCACTACACGGATGCACGAGTTGAGCGTGTGGACGTAGTGGCGCGTCGCACTGAGATTATTGATGTATTCGGCGTCCTGGCCGTCTGTATTCTGAGATGTCTATTTTTGTACCCTTGATAAGAGTCGTCCAACGTGGTATCATATGCTAAAGCGATGCAAAAATTCCACCAAGATGTAAGCGCCCCCAATATGCCAGTCGTAACTTTATGTTTCCCGCTTGCGCGTACATGATGCGCGACGTGAAATCTTTGATGTCGGTTCGAGGACGCTGTCGCTATCCGTATTGATCGCGGAAGTCGGGTCGTGGCGTCACCGGTCGTGTCCGCTGGATCGCGGTGCCAACGGCGGTAATGGCATGTGGTTCTCGTGAAGGTCACCGTGTGTCTCGTACCGCGCCGGACGTTGCTTCATCCGCTCGACTTGTAGCTCCACTTCGCTGGTCAAAGTGATCGTCATGTCGGTGTCCGTAGTCATGTTTCCATTATTGCTTTTCGGGCGGACCTTGCCCCACAGACGCGACATCCCCGATTTGGGGGCTTCCTCCTCTTCCAGAATAGCTTCCTGGCTGCCTCGCTCCAGATCCTGCTCTGTGTCCGCCCAATGCTTCATCTCATAGCTGTTGCCCTTGTCGTTTGCGAGTTCTGGCGCATTGCGCGGTGCTGTGGATTTCCGGTTCGTGGAGGAATGCGACGCTGATGCGTTGGCGGTTAGCGTCTTTGATGAGTTCGCGCTCTTCTTGAAGGATATGCCACCTGAGAAGGATTGCGATAGACTGAAGGGGATCTTCGCGAGGAGGGGCTTTAGTACTGGGGCCGAGGCGCATATCTGTGGCGAGTAAGCATCGTGTCACTGATTAGCAGTCGTACGTAACAACTTACTACACCCAAGTCTATCTCTACAGCGGCCGCAATCCACAGTGGATATGCGTACCAGGTTTGATCGTACTCGTTGTTGAAGAGACTCCGATAGATGAACCAGGTACGCACAATACCAGCAGCAGAGACAATCAGCCCCATACCGAATAGCGCGGCGACAGCCATGCGCTCACGCAGACGCATGTGAAGCTGGTATCAGTTAGTAGTGCTTTGCCTTGCGTATGGGATTGAGCCAACTCACCCCCATGACCAAAGGTATTGGTGTTAGGGTAGTAAGAAAATCCGCGACACAGTTGATAATTCCACAAATGAGAGTCGCAGTCCCCTCGTCCATGCAAGTATCTGCCGGTGCGCCGATGGTCCAATAGTTCTTGATGGGTGTGCAGAAGAAGATGGCGATGAAGGGGAATGATATCAAGATGCCGAGCGTGTAGGCGACATTGACATGTACCGCCCACTTGAACCATCTAAGCAAATTAGCAAGGCTATTGGGACGCGATAGCAATGCCAAAGGTACTCACGTCTTCCCCGAATCCGTGACCAAGCGGTAGTAGAAGCAATGCAGAGAGAGTCTCGTGAAGCTCGCGGCCGCTGTGAAGACGACCTTCGCGGTCATGGCGATTTTGTAGGCCGGAACAAACATGTGAAAGGGTATATCCCAAACATGTCTGTAGTGGTTCGATGATTAGCTGTTTGCTGCGAATGGAGATCGGGTTATTTACCTATCCCATCCATATCGGAGGTTTGCCAGGAGAACGACGGCAGTGAGACCGCACGTGAAGAGCAGCGCAAAGAGGATGAAGATATCGTCAATACCGAACCACCTCTTGATCACTATACGGGTGTATAACCGCGCAATCACAACGAGGATGGTTAGTGCGATGAGGATGCTGTTGACGATGAGGAGGGCAGGGCCGCGCGTTTCCGGGTCAATGTAATTCGGAGTCGGCCAACCCAACAGGACATCCACCGGAGGCAGCTGCATACTGGATTATCGTGGGCCTGCCCGGGGAAGTATGCGAGACATGTGGGCGTGGAGGATTGACGAGCTGCGGATAGACGGGTCAGGTCAAAGAAACGAGATCGAGAGCTTGCCACTAGGATAGGGTCTCGAGGGTTATGTTCAGTGAAGAGTGGGGCTGCGCACATGGCCGTTAGCTCCATCCATGTCATGAAGCGCAATGGCGCGCTGGCTACCGTCACGACGCTGGTGTCGCATTGGCTTCGAAGCTCGGCTTGTACACGGACCGTACGCAAGGCACGATAATCGTGGCGCATCAGCGGGGTCTTGCATGCGGCGCACGAACTCTCCGTGAAGGGTGGAACCCAAAATCACGACAAAAGGTTCTGCCAACCGCACGATCCGGGCACAATGACGAACACCTGAACGGGCTCGCTCCATCAAGATCTGCCCAGGCATTTCGAGTGCATCCCAATGGCCTCGGAGATAATTCCATTCTGCCCATTCAGTCGGTAGCAAAGATGGTTCTTGGTTGGACACTGGCTTACCGGACACCAATTTCCGCCTCGCCGGCAGTACAAACATGCCGCCACGACAACGAGTATGGCAGTCCCTTGCACAAGAACACGGTCATGTCTCAGGTCACAGGGACATCCAATGGATGAGTCGTGCCACCTGTAGCTACGGGAGCTAGGTCTTGGCCAAGTTGGGAGCTTCCGGGAGGCACCAACCAGTATTGTCCGGCAATAACGGGGGGCTGTTTAAATCGTCGAAACTTTCTAGACCCTGAAACCATGTGTTGAATGCAGCAATCGACGCGAAACATGGTGTTGATCCAAGGGTTCGTAGTTGTGGAGGGAAGGTCTGCCTGTGCGTGCGGCCAGGTCAGATCAGGCATCCCACGCTAGCGCCGACCGCACGGGGCCTAGCGTCGGATCTTTGTCACCCTGCAGCGATCCATTGCTGTTCCGCCCCACCCGTATCCTCCATCGTCGAACTCAAAACTACGGGGGCATTTCGATCTAATTATGTTGCGAAGGAATCACAACGACTGTGCCGCGTGAACATCGGCACCCGACAAATGGCTATGTTTATCTCCGAGGACGCCGACATCACGGATATCACGGACCCGTTGACAGCGGTGTGGCTGTTGCACGCTGACGTGCAGTGTTCACAGTTCAACAAACCTTCGTAAAGTAGGTCGTGCAGTTCTCGCGGCTTTGGGTGCGGTCATATAGCGCCGACACCAGGGTACTGGAGCTTACGCGTGCCGATGTATTTTGCAGAACTCATCTGCTACCCACTCGTGCCACTCTTTGATGACTGCGGCGTGGGTATCACTAGGGTATGTACCGACTCGTTCACGTATGACGCCTACATGTTCGAACGATGAATCCTTCGCTCCATCGGTTCCAAAAGCCACACCGCTGGATCCATGTGCGATATCCTCCGCATACATAGGACCATGTTCGCGCCCAGGCCCCTGACTCGATATGAGGCTGATACGCCCTCCTTTGCTCTGCCGGGACAAGGCTGCCACGAGGCTGGCAGTGGCTTGCACCTAATTCCATAGCGCGCGCAATGCACGAGCATACCGGCGTGCTCTCGAGACGAGGTTTGGCGTCGCTTGAACTTCGATGCCCGGGCATATGTCTCTTCTTGTGTCGATTCTCGCATTGAAACATTCTCTTTTGGCTCCAGATATTGATGTCGCAACCAATACCCACAGTATATCTGCATCAACGGGACGTATCTCGACAATTTCATCTGCAGGATCGATCCGCCCCAGGAACATGATTCGGGTGCGGCTCCGTTCGACCGTCATTGGCCGAGCCCGCCCCCAGAAAGGCGCGCTGCCCCCAGAAAACAAGGCGTGCAGCATCGTGCGCAGTCAGCATTTGCGCCTCCGAACCATTGCCCAACTACGAGACTTCTACGCTCAACGCCAGAATCATGCCATGTCCTCATTTGGATTCTTACTGTTAAGCCCGCGTCTTCCGCCACGTGTGGGCTGTCGCCATTGTTTACCTGACGCCGCATCGGGCCTTCTGCCGCACAGTTTTTGCTAGGTTCTTCCTAGTTATACAACATGAACTAGGACTCAGGCACATACTCGCCCACGACCCTCTGCCGTCCCAATACCGGGTGAAGACGACGGTTACTTGCAGGCGACCCGCCGTTGTGGGTACTGCATGCAACCAAGGGGTGTTCATTCATACTCATTGTGGGCTCGGGAATCTTTGACGAAACTGTCTCAGGGACTCAAACATGTATCGCGGTCATTGCGATGGGGAAAAAGGTATGTCGGGTGGGCAAGCTGGTTACATGATGTTGCACGCAGAACACCAGTATCACCGCAGGTGAATGTTGGTATGCAGGTAAGTATAGCGAGACACTATTGAGTTGCTCTACTACTACATTTTGAATGCCGGCCCAATAGGCAAATAGCATGCAAGCCACATGTCGGCTTGTAGTCATGGTAGTGTATACATGACAGGATGGCACAACCCTCGTTCATACTCCACGCGACACGTCCGTCGAACCATTCCAATCGCTGACCAATGCTTACAAGTCTCGTGACTTCTCCAGGTACCCGAACTGCTCTCCCGATAAACCCCACCTCTCTCCGCGCCCAACTAGGCCCACGACATCGTCGCATTCGCGAACCTAACACCCAGATCCCTCTCATGAAGAGGAGGATTGAAGTCCGCAGAAGGGTCACCGTAATCATGCTTAGTCTTCTGCTTACACTTCTTGAACGGGTGCTTCAGGCTGCCGGGAATCGGCGGATCACCCGGTTTGCGAAGAGCATCGAGTCGGGAATGCCAATCGACATCATTATCGCCTTTGCAATGGCCTTCGTTGTGGCAAAGGTTCTCCCAATCTTCCGAGAACATGAGACCACTTCGCACCAGGAAGTTGAAGGTCTGGTCTTGGTAAGGATTGTATGTGTTGTCGTTCCAGCCGAACTCGCCGACCATGCAAGGGAAATTCCGACCGTGAGTGGACCAGACGCTGGAAATGGCTTCGCCGCGGGGATTACGTGCGATCGCTAACGTGTAGGCGCCCATGAGATTGAATTGGCCGTTGCCCCAATTCATCGCCTGTCCTAGAGCCGACTGGACCGTCTGGAAGTCCGCAGTTTGTAGAGCGTCATACAGATTGTGCTCATGAACCGCAAGGGATGAGCGGACGACATCTTCCAAGGTAGCTCCGTAGACGTCGGAGTTCTGTCCTTCGAAGAAGTTTCGATATCCAGTGGGGCCATGAATCAACGCTTTGTGGTTTTTACCAGGGTCGTTCTCCTGCGAAATGTCCAAGGCGTATATCCAGTATGAGTGATCCGGACGTTCCGGCAAGCAAATCCGGTTCTCGGTCGGTCCACGAGTGTCCACCTCACAGGCACCTGTAGGGACGTCAGCATCAACGATATAGGGCCGTTCCCATTGCCACAATGCGTTGATCACAGCATGCTTGAAGACCTTCTCGGACATCCTCATGATATCCTCTTGGATATTGCCATCTCTTCTGAAGAAGTCTTGACCCTGCATGAGACCGAGCAGGTCTTGTCCATGGTTGTTCTTGTCCCCTTCCATGAGCTGCTTCGACTCATGTGCAATGCTGATCATACTGTGATGGCGAAAGTCGTTTAGGGATGAGCGTATAACATCCTCGATATTGTCAGGAAGCTTCTCAGGGTCAGCTCGAGCGGTGTTGATTGTGCCGACGACGGAGATGTAGGTAGACGCGGCCATGTTAACCATCGAAGGTGCGGCAGTCTTGTCGAGTCCAATGAAACCTGGGATAGCTAGTGCCCCACCAGCCATCATCAGTAGAGCGGAGACGGCGGTCATGCCGAGCTTCTCCATCCTCCTGTGGTCGTTCTTCTCCTGTTGAATTTGCGTCGAGATGCGTGATGCAGCGCTGTATCTCGCCACAAGTGAAGGCACTTGTCCATCCGCATACAATGCACCTTCCTGTAAGCCTTCGCGAAGGCTCTTTAACAGGTGGTCCACACCGCCAATCTGTTCGAAGAGGAAGTAAGCCATCTGCCTATCGTGTTGCGACAGCGAGGGATCAAGAGCTTGGCAAGAGAAGCTGCATCCTCCGACAGTGTCGCAATAGGAGGCACTTGGCGCTACATTAGGCGCAAGCTTGTCGCGAAGATAGTGCGGGAATGAGTTGTAGCCTGGGTCGTTCAGATAGCCGGTCCAGTGCGCGGCGGCAAATACCTGGATGTTCGGTAGGTTCTGCCTCCAGGTCTGGGCGGTGGGGGTTACCAGGCCACAGCTGGCCGATGAATACGAAGGCACTGAGACATATCCGCCGGGGCCCTGTGTTGGTGGTGGTTTCCGAGGATCGACGTTTACGGGAGCGCCGGTGACGAAGGTTACGAGACAGAACAAGATTCTGGTGATGAGCATCGTGAACAACATCTTGATAGTTAGCGTCTCTGTGGAAGGGGTTTGTGGTAGTAGTAGTACTTACTGTTGTAGTGGTGGTAGTAGTTGGAGTTGTTGTAATTGAAGCTGTAGTTAGAACTGTAGTAGTGGTAGCTGTCGTTATACTAGTGGTGATACTCTATTTTCAGAAGAGTTAAAGAGTGCAGGATATCCGGCATGTTATATACGAAATCCAACGGCAGTGCGGTGATGAGATTTTCGCCTCGAAAAGCGGCGAGTTCTCTCAACCATGGTTGTCACCTATTCCAAGTTTACCAGCTGAGTTGCATCAGGCTCTGCATTGGCTACTTGCTTCGCCAAGTAGGTCTTAACATCCAGCGATGTTCCGTAGTTAGCATGAACAAAGTAGAAGGTGTAGGAAAAAAGAGAGTGAACCAGAGTTCAGATCTCAGCGCACCGGCCATATGCAACTAGAATGTTAATTAGTAGCTTTAATTATAGTCTATAGCCGCTCTTAACTAGGTAAGTTACTAAGGTTATTATTAGCTCTCTTTACTAAAAACTAGTATACTACTAAAAGTAACTATAAGTTATATTACTACTACTACTAAGCTAAAGTAAAGTATAAGTAGCTAAAATTTTTACTTAAATATTTTTACTTATATAAACTACTATAAATATAGCTATTTTAGTATATTAAAATTACTTTTTTTATATAAACTTAAACTAACTTTAGTAAATACTACTTTACTTTTACTATATAAAAGTAAAACTTAACTAATTTAAAGCTAAGTTTTAATATACTTACTATAATAATATAGTTTACTAGTACTACTATATAAGCTAAAAAGTTAATTATAAGTAATTTAATAAAATTAAATAAAATACTTTTATACTACTAACTTTACTATTAATTACTTTATATAACTTTTTTATATAAACTTAGTTATATATAATTTACTAGTACTATTATTTATACTATAAAATACTTAAAAAGTATTATAGTTTTAAGAGTAGTACTTTAAGCCTAATTTAGTATTATCTTTATAGTAAAATAATATTAAAAGATATTAAAAAATATTAAAAGACTTTAAGCTAGTCTCTTTTAGAACTACTAAATAATTTTAATATTAATTTAGTATATATTACTATAGTAATATAGTTGTTTTAGACTTATTTTATACTTATTTATATAACTTTCTAGTTTATACTATAACTAGAAATAACTAGAAATAACTAAGATAATATATAGTAATAGATATACTACTAATAAAACTAGCTATATTTATTCTTTATTAACTATAATATAATACTATATTAACTATTTAGACACTTAGTAACTAGTAAAGGTAACTACCTACTTAAGAATAATTCTAAATAACTATTATAGCTTTTATTTACTTAACTATAGTAATACTTAAAAGACTATTTATAAATACTTTTTTATTTTTATCTAATTCTTTATTAAAATAACTAAAAATCTCTTTTAAAGTAGTAATTTATAAGACTATAGTATTATAGATAAGCTTAGAGAGAAGTTTTATAGTTAGTACTAGTTTATATATAAAAGTATAAATATAAATAGCTTAGGCCTTTAGTATATTTATAGTAATAAGATTAATCTAATTTATATTAATAATAAGCTTAGATTAGTAAAAGAACTTATATATATTAGTAATAAGAAGTTTCTTAATAGTAAAGCTAATAAAAAAGATAATTAATAGCTTTACTTTAGGTAAATATATATATAAGATAGTAGTAATAAAAGCTTTAATAGAATTTTTAATAAAAGCTTTAATAGTATTAATAAAGTAGCTTTTTATATATTTTAGAACGCTTTTTAGAGTGTCTAAGACGTTAGGTATTATATTATAGATAATATTTTATTTTATAGCTACTAAAATAGCCTTTAAAATAGTCTTTCTAATAGTCTTTTTTTTAGTAGATGTAAAGTAGCTTATAGTAGCTTCTTATAGTAAGAGTAATATAATTTAAAGAATAGTAATTAAAGAATAAGAAAATAATTTAGTTAAGTATTAGTAAAGTAGTAAAATAATATAACTAGTAAAAGATTAGTTTTATTCTTATAAGCGCTAAAAAAACTTATAAATTATTTAACTAGTATAGCGTTTAGTATTAAATTTAAGCTACTTATATTTTTAATCTTTAGTATTTTAATTATTATTATTATTATAGAAATATAAAGAATAAAAAAAGCGCGCTTTTACTAAAAGAGATTTTAGTATACGTATTCTAACTATAAAGCTTTAGAATATATTACTCTATTAGTTATAAGCTAATAAGTATATATAATTATATTATAATTCTTTTATAGAGTATTTAGTATTTATAAAATAGCTTCTTAGCTAGTTTAAAAAATTTAAAAGCTTTAACTATTTTAGAGATAGTAGCGCTAAAACTTTAAGTTTTAGCTTACTTAATACTATATTTCTAAAAGTAAGTAAAAAATTTAGTTATATATTTTTTAGAGTACTAGTAATAGTTCTTACCTCTTTAGAATTAGTAGCTTTTTAAGCTATAAGTATTACTACTTAAGATTTAGATTTTTACTTAATAATAGTTTTAAGAGTAAAATAAAAAAATAATTATATATATTTAAAAAATAAAATTTTATAAAAAAACTTATAAGTAAGTTAAAAGTAATAGAGAGAAAACTAAAAGAAAGACTATTAGAAGCTTATAAGTAGATTTAATTAATAACCTTAGCTTTAGCTTTACTTAAAATAGTAATAGCTCTAAATATGCGACTGCACTTTAGCGTATCGCGTGCGATAGATGTCCTGTGCTCAACTCTGGGTGTCTGAGAGCCGGAAGAAGAAGCTTGTTGGGATTGCTTGGTGCGCCGCATCGCGAGGGAAGCTTGATATCGCAGAAGTAATGTAACTCAGGTTGCGATTAGCTAGCATCCGAGTAGCTATCCAGAGTGATCTGATACCGTAACGCAACTTTGGGAGTTGCGCTTGGTGGTGCGCAATCGCGAAGTTCGGTGGTGCGTCATCGCCGTGTTTGGCTTAGTGCATCTTAGTCATCTTCAATCCGCCGAGCTGCCGATGGCGCATGTGGCCTCCTTCAACGCGACACCAGCATCACCACTTTGCACGACAGCGTCATCAACAATGGATATAGTCTACGATTCGGAGTCTTTCTATATGCGATAATTTATTCTCTTCTCCTTCTCTACACCGAACGCTCGGACATGCACGTGAGAAGTGTCTCATCGCGCATGCGAGCAGCGCCCCTTACTGACAGCGATGTTCCACCACGATACTACTACCGAAGTTCACAGGCCTGATACGATAATTTTCTCCATCTACTTCAAAGGTAGCAGTCGCTGTATCAATAACCGTCAGGAGCGTATTGCTTATCCCCTCGGCTACGCAGTCCACGTTGGCCGCGCGATACGAGCAACCCGGAGGAATGGATATCGTACCAATGAAGCCATCCTTGGAACCCTCCCACATCGCAAGGCGCATCCGGTCACAGACCCCAGTAATTGAAGAGATCGAACAGCCTTTCTCGAGTTCCATACTCAGACCCTCGGACGTGTGTATTATCGCGCGATCCCCACGGAAGGCGATGGATGTTACGGAGTAGATTGGCAATGAACAACCGCGCTCCAGGAAGATCTTCACCTGCACATCGGGAGCGGACTCGGCAACATAACGCACTGGCGCGAATGTCTTAGCTTCTTGGAAGAACGTGGTGGCGGCCTCTTCGCTCCACCTAGAGATGCGTACCTCCGGCTCCAGCACGTCATACATGCGCACATGTCGTCGAACATAACTCGCGATATCGTTGCTTCGCAGGCTACGGAGCATACTCACATCCCACGCCGTTATACACATGTTGATTTCGGGCAGCAGCATCCGCATATCTTGGATCGCCTTCGTTGTCTTAATCTCGGCGTTCATTCGAGCCAGTCGCTCCCGTTCAGCGTCGAGTAGAAGTCCAACTGTTCGGCAAATTTCCGGCTCTACGAAGCACTCGTCGAAGACTTGTTCAAGGAATGCATGCGTTTTGCTTGCCTTGCTCTTGTCTACTAAGAGCAATAGTTCGCACGCTAATGACAGCAGAACAACCAGCAGGAACACGTACTCTGCATCCCCCTGACACACTCCGAGGTCCTCTTCGATCTTGAACGTCGCGATTATCGGCCTGAGAACGCGCCGATCCCAGTCTGTTCCGGGACCGAAACCATCAGTCGACACAATCGTGGCGATCTCCTGCTGGACACGTTCGACTATCCTCTCGCCGAAGCTTTCGAGAACCGAGGGACTGATATCTGGTTGTTGCGGATAAGACTTCTCGATCAAGGTGCTGTGTATACCCCGAAGGATGGCCAAATGGCTGAAGGGTGTGTTCTCGTAAGGGACCGCGGCGATGGACGTGGCTGTGGATGAGGTTGATTGCGTCGGCAGGCTCGATAAGCTCGATACGTTCGATAAGCTTCGTACTTTCAACCAGCTTGCTACTCGCGAACGGCTATCGCCCTTAATGCTTGAGGTCGAGGTCGATCGCGTCGACAAGCTCGATACGTTCGATAAGCTTCGTACTCCTAGCCAGCTTGCTACTGTTGACCGGCTGTCACCCATGATACTTGAGATGCGGTCGAAGCGGTCTTCTGCGCAACTTTACAAGCTGTCTTGTAGCCCACGGCTAGCTTGGTCATGTCTTCGCGAAGAAAGTCACGTTCCATTCGTGAGACATCTGTCTCAAGTCTTGCTCAGACAATGTCCACGGAGGTTTCAGCACACGACCACTTTTCAACATTACAGCGCGAAGTCGACTCATCGATATGAACCAATGTAGGTATACTCAGGATTGATTCGCTAACTTTGGGAGCGCAACGTCAACCGCCGACGTTCCCAACGGCCCCAAACAGATCGCATGAGGCTCCGACCTTACCCAGAACTCATCGTCCGCATCATGCTGGATACACCATCCCAGAAGTTGTCCTATATCACGCATTCCGTCTCATCTTCTGCTTCGTCTGCCAACGCGAAGAATCCGAGCCCTCGATAAGCCTCAACGATACTCATCGTCTCTTCCTTTTCCCAGTCTCCGAACCGGTCAAGTACAACCAATAAAGCAGAATCGACCCATCCTCTCTCCCTGTTAGATTTCGCGATTGCCCTCAAGATCGTGCGCACTGCAACGTATTCTCCTGGCCCGCCAGGATACAACAATGATTCTTCCTCGAGCGACCTTCCCCTTTGGCTCTTATCGGAAGATTGCGCGGCGTTACGTAGTAGGACTTTGTAGAAAGGGAATGCTTGCTGGAAAATGTCTGTCCATGCAAGACCTGTTAACAACTTTCCAGTCGCATCTTCTCGTAAACTGCGAATTGTCACGAACGCCTCCTCGACGACTTTGTAAAGCGTGTCCGTCAAGCCAGTACTCTCTAACAAATGTTCCATGAGAAATATTGCCTCCCATTTCTCCTCTGCCCAGTTGTCTGAGAGAGCAGGATCAAGACACTGTAGAGCGAAATCTCTTTTCGGTCTAGGGCGTTGGCAAAGAGCCATGCGGCAGTTGGGGCATGTAGCTTCGTCACTTGGACCGTCCCTCAGCCAATGGTCGAGACAGTCGCGGTGGAAATTGTGGCCGCAGGGCGTCGCGACGACGTCTGGCGCCACGTCGCTCGAAGCATCGCGATATGAGATGGCGCATATGGGACACTCATCTTCGAGGTTGTTGGGTGTGTAGGCAGTGAGACTGGTGGTGTAGAATGTGTAGAGAGTTGGGATGGCCATGGTGGATACCGGTGAAATTGCAAGTGAGCTTGGATGGCGGCGTGAACGGCGGCGTGAAAGGCGAATTTGATTTCGGCTTGAACAGGAGATGTATGGTCTCGAAAGAAGTGTGTGCTGAAGGCTCGTTTTATACGGAATCCCGCAGAGGCTCTGTGGAATCTGAGCGAGAAAATATGGTGCGTATCCATGGTTCGCGACCAAACACTAGGCCAACCAGCGGCCTGAGAAACGGATGCCTCGCCAATAACATCTTGCTTACTGGCGGCCAAGACAATGATTAGCGATACGCCTATTATTCGTGGCTGAAGCATTGCCAACCCCACACACCACGACTACGTCTTGCGGTAAAGGCGAGCGTCACCTAATCGGGCAACCCTACTTTCTCCGCAAGCGGACCCTGACCCAGTCCACCAACTTGCTTCCTCTTCACTACCTACACCTACACTCAGTACCAAAAGACTCACATCCACCAACCCGCACCATGGCTTTACCCACCCGCACCGAGTTCTATCGCGATCATTTGGCGCCTTGTCGCATTCTCCCAGGTGCGCCCAAGTACTCAGATATCGGCATCTGCGTTGTTTGCCAAGAGGACTTCAACGATGCGTCATATGACATGGTCGCCGTCAGCAGCTGTTCGCACGTCTTCCACCGCAAATGCATCATGCAGTGGACGGAGACCTGGGGCTCGCCCCGCGACAAATGCCCCTCGTGTCGGGAGTCGATGTACCAGTACACGCCAATGACGGCCCACGAGATCCAGGCCATGCAGGAAGCGCAAGCAATCCAAGACGCTGAGAGTCGGCTATCAGAATTGGGTCCTTATGCGGCAGTAAGAGAAGCTGAGCGCCTCTGGTTCGCGTCCATGGGAGTGTCGGTCGAGGGTCTCGATGACTTTGATGAAGAACCGACACACTTTTCTGATGATGACGGCGAGGAGATTGCGACGTCGTTGGACATGGACTTCAATCCAAATTCGTCGCTGCAAGTCCCGACTTTCGCAGCCTTTGGAAGCGCATCGCCAGCATACTCTCCAACATTTCCAATGTACTCCGACGCATCGCTAGGAGAATCGCCTACGTCACTAAGATACTCTCCTCCCTCTCCGCGATTCCCTCCCTCATGGCCAATATACGCCCAGTCAACGCCATTGTATTCCCCGACGGTCCCGATATACTCCGATGCATCACAAGGAGAATCTTCTACATCGCCAGTATACCAACCGTCGTTGCCGGACGCACGAAACCAAGGGGGTCACACAAGCCCGGAGCAGTCGACGCAGCTGGAGCAGATGCGTGGCGTCATATCCAGTGAATTCACCATAGCGAGAGAAATCTCCAACGTCGCTGTCGTCCACACAGTCCATTCGTCGTTACCGAACTCATACCTTGCGACAAGTTTCCACGCCAACAGCGAGTACCGGAGTGAGGCGGCAGTGCATGGTGCAATTGGATACGTCATGGTAGGCAGGACGGCGTTATTTTACTATTAATCGGAGAGCGCAATTGGGAAGGAATGGTTTGGTAGCAAACGTCACTTCGATCTGGAGTCTTTATCATTAGAAGGGGCGTCACCTCATGCGTCGCTCGGGTAAGTAGAGACTACTATATCAACACATTCCACCATTTTCATATTTATTCCCCTTTCTTCCTCGTTATGCTGCGCTGTGATGCGACAGTGCTTGCGTCGAAGGTCCCTTTTCACTCTTGCTTTGAAACTGTCACTGCACAGCTATTACGTCATCTGATGCTATTGTCTCTGAACAACTCGACCCGCCGCATTCACTTTCGCACGAAAATACAGTAGACCTGTTGTCTACAATAGCAGTCTTCTCCTCTGAATAAAGCTTGAGCCAGGTCCAAGCCTACATCATCTGCTTCTCGTCATCGCTGTCTCCTCAACTCTCATCCCCTCAATCAAGCCTGCGACATCGCAATATCTATACGCCCTATATCTGCACTTACGGAAATCCGATATCTAGACGCACTATATTTGCATCTCATTACCCAATACACTTTCAGCGTATCTACACCGCAGCTTCCGAAGATGTCGCCATCTACCCCCATCGTACCTACCACCTCCGTCAGTGTGGATGCTCCGCGTTCGCGCCCAACTTCGCTGGACGAAGTAGCACCAATGACGCCCCACCGCTGTTCTTCCACCGACTCTAAGAGTACCAATGACGACGATCTCGACGACCTATTCGAGGACGAGACTACCTGGGGCCTCAACTTACCGCCTATCGTGAGTCCATCTGCGCTTGCCCCCATCAGCACTTCTGACCCAGATTCGCAGCCTACGTCTTCACCTATCTCCTCTCCCGACGACACCCATGTCGCTGTTCCTCAGAAGCGCAAACGCGATTCTGCTACCACCGACGACGACGCCTCCGACGACTCTGACGACTCCCCGTTATCCAAGAAGGTCAGAAGCGCCGATGAAGAGACGGAGAAGAAGAACGAGGGCAAAGACAACGAAGCCACTCGACGATACCGCACCGCCGCCACCGCCGCGTCATTGAAGCCATCTACCAACAATGCGAACAAATTCCTCGATAGCATGAGGAAGCAGCGGTCCATCCCCACACCACGCTACGTCCCAACCGGCGCCGAGCGCCGCGACGAAGTCAACCAGCTCGCAGCCAAGCACGTCCGACATGTCGCCCCCGCCATGCTCGCCAACAACGCGACGAACCGCGACGTCGGCGGTGCAATGAACAAGTTCGACTGGGCCGAGAAAAACCGGGAGATCAAGCCAGACCAAATCAAGGCGCGTCCATCCACATCCATGTTTCAGAAATGGGTTGATGAAGAGGATGAGCATGTGACTTGGCTTGTCATTCCGGCTTCACGCAAGTTTATCAATATGGAGGGGAGTATGGTGCCGATTGTGGACATCGTGAATAGGTCTATTAAGTATCCGGAGTGGACGTTTGTGGAGGAGGTTTTGGGGCCGCACTGGAAGACTGGGAAGGAGGTGGTTAAGGCGGTCAAGGTTAAGTTTGAGAGGTTGACGGGGGAGCAACAAATTGAGCGGATTGATGTTATGGTTAAGCAGAAGAAGGAGGAGGATAGGCAGGCGAGGAAGGATGAGGCTGCGCGGAGACGGAATGAGAAGCGAGAGGAGCGGGCTAGAGCGAGGGCTGAGAGGGATATGTAGGGAGTTGAGGGGGTTGCAGGTGGAGTGAAGTTGGGGCTTGGGAGTGACAGGTGCTATTCGCGTGGCTTTGCGAGTGGGGATATATAGTTTTGGTAGATATGATAGATTCACGTTGCTCTCATCTATACATCTCTACATCGATGTATACTGTAAGATCTTCTATGAACAACCTAACTATACGTATCGAAACTGTTGTAGCCCGCTCGGGTAACCGTGACTTCGCACATTGAAGTTCGATGACCCAAGGTATCTCGCACCCTCAACCACGGGTCTGACTTCCAAGACACACAACGTCATCAGTGAATGTAGAGAGCAGGTCAATATGGCCTTTCACTCAACCATGGATCGCTAGCGCGTTAGAATAATGTTTCTACACCGTACTCGCTCTTCTTCATCTCCACCCAGACAGCTCGCGACAAGCATTAAGAAGCGCACAACCCCCCCTCGACATCTACGACCTAGCCACCGATCACAAAGCGCAACTCCACGAGGAGCTCTGGCGTACACGATGCCTCCACCGATCGCTAGAACGCCGACAAGTAGCGAGATGTCGTCGCCTCACATCACGTTCTCGACGAGCACACCAACTGGACTGAGCCCGTATACACCCAGCGTACCCGTCGCAGACCCAACCCAGCCACCCATGGTTCACCAAGCGCAGAAGCGCCCAAGATCAGAAGACGAAGAGCAAGAAGCGCAAGCAAAGCGCGCCCGCAACGACTCCATCACAACATCCCAAGAGCAGCGCTACAACGACAACAAGCCCGCCATCGAAGCCTGGTGCAAAGCGCAACAAACCCATCCCAAAGCACGTTGGTACGAGAAGCTTCACGCTTGGGAAACAAATGGCTGTCGCGACGTACGACGCAAGTCGCCCGCAACAACATCGCCGCCTCCTCCCTTGCCCATCACACAAACCCCCGGAATGGATTCGCCAGCCGAGATTCTCACCACCCGCCAAAAATGGGGCGACACAAAACCTGACCGACGCACGCATCCACTCGACAAAGCCGCCGTCCCTGAATACCCCACCGAAGACTCACTCGCAGCTTGTACAAAGAGGTCTGATGGACTTTACAAGTGCCTACATCCTGAGGGAAGTCACCATAAGTGCTGCCGCGAGGGTCTTACAGAGAAGAACAAGAAACATGCTATTGGCAAGCAGATCCGGGCGTGGAAGACGCGGGTTGAGGAGATGGTGCTCAAGGGGGAGCTGCATGTTGCGCATAAGACGTGGGGGGATTGGAATAAGAAGAGTAAGGAGAGTTATGGGGGGGAGGTGGGGAGGTGGGATGGGCTGTTGAAGGGTGTACAAGGAAGGGGTAAAGGGGGGCAAGGACTTGGGACGCCATCTCCTCGTCCTGCAGCGGCACCTGCTTCTCGTTCCGCAGTGGCGCCTGCTCATCAGACTCCTATTGAGGCCACACGTCAAGCAGTTCCGCAGGGATTTGCGCCACAGCCATTCGTCCCATCTGCGTCACCGACTCAGCAGATGTCCCCGTTGCAACAGACTACACCTGCACACGCGACATCGCGGCAGTTCCAGCATCAGTCTCCACCGCAGCGGCCATTTCAACATCCAGTCAACACGGGCAGCATAGCGAGTTCACCTGCTCATCTTGTGTCTTACCCGCAATCTCAAGCGCAGCATACCTTCCTCAACTCGCCAACACAATCTCTCACTCCCTTGGCCATATCAACAAGTCCCGCCCCAGCAGCAAAGCGTCAAGCCGGCGAACCTGCATTTGGCTACAATGGATTGCCGCCAAATGGATCACATCGACAGCAGGAAATTGCTAGCTTCTCTCCTCAGCGCAGGTCGCAGGAAGGTGCTGTGATTGCGTCTGGAGCAGTGCCTGTGGTGACTCCATATGTGCCGCAACCTTCGCCGCCACTGGGTCAGGCACTATCGCCAGTCGCATCGAACCATCCTAGCAATGGATACAGGCTGTCTCAGTCTATGAGTCGAGGGCAAGAGCAGCGCCGACCGCAACAGCAATCTCCAAAGCAGGCTCGAATCGCGAGCCAACAGCAAGCTGATGTCCAACTGCCATCATCAGGCGCACCGACAAACCATGCGGCCAAACCACATCCAGCGTCGACCCAGATGGCTAAAAGCCCAAGCACAGCGCCAAAGCGCACTTCCGCGTCCTTGACCACACAAAACATGTCCTCCACCACCCACACACTCTCGCCGGACAAGTCGTCCACGCTTGCAGCTTCATCTCCTGCGAAGGCAGAGCCTGCTGTCGACTACCGACCGACAGCGATGCGCATGCTGCAACAGCAGATCAGAGACCAGGCGCCTATTGTGCTTGGTGGGCTGAAGATCACCAGGGATGATGTGAACACGAACATGAGTGGCTGTGTGGGAAGACTGGCGACAGCATTGCGGGTGGAAGCTGAGGAAGCTGCAAAGAAAAAGGCCGAGGCAGCTGCACGGATGGAGGTAGAAGAAGCTGCGCGGAAGGAGGTAGAAGAAGCTGCGCAGAAGAAAGCTGAAGAGACTGCGCGTGCCAACTCGAAAGACGCTTCTCAAGGCCAAGCTGGAACTACAGACGAGATTACGGCTCTCACGGTCTCAAACGACAACGAAGGTCACGAACTAGACTACCTCTTCTCCTCCACCCCCATCCCCGCCTCTCACAGCCACCCCATCGACTTCGGCAACCCAAACGACTACCTCTTCTCGTCCAGCCCCGACAGTCCCGACAATAACGAATGGCGCCCAGACTTCATGCCCGACCTAACACCCAACTTTGGCAAGATGGACCTTATCGGGATGACGCAACGCGCCTTTGAAGAAGAACCCTCACCCTCACCCTCACAGCCAGAAGAGCAACCTGAGCCTGAACCAGAAGAAGACACACCAGCCGACCTGAGCTACCCCGAAGCGTGGTTCATAGAAGACGTCGAGGATTTTGTGACGCAGGGTCCGCTTCCTGAGTGGATGCTACGGCCTACGACGGACTTCACTTTGGAGAAGATGCAGGTAGAGGGGTTTGATGGGGACTTGGGGATGCCGGGGGATCCGGAGGAGTGGTTGCAGGCGACTAGGGCCTGGCAGAAAGAGAAGAAGGCGGGTGCGCGTTGAGTGCGGGTGTATAGAGGTGGTGACGTTGCTGTCAAGTTTGGATAGTCGCGTGTCTCTCGCTTGGTGACTGCGGGCGCATATTACTATGATAGATGAAAACGTTGCGCGAATGCCATGGTCGCGTTCATCCTTGACCAAGGTTCTTGTTCCAGCATGTGATGTTTGACTTGGCTGTTCCCAGGGTTCGCAGCGCACATGCGTCAGTGGTGAGAACGACGTGACTGGATCGACAATAGCAGAGAAGGTACCTGAAACGTCCTGCGGTGGCGCAGACTGATCGAGCGGTCGAAATTTTGACGTTGGTAGCCAGTAGAAAGCCCGCAGCCGGAGTCGCGCTCACTTCGAAGTCAATTCGGAGAGGTGTCATTGGCCACACGCCCTTTCACCTCGCCCAACCTCATCTTTTCCCACGTATCTCCTGCTATTGTGCCCTATAGAAACCAGCCGTCAGCGAAAATTTGCATGCTCACCTTCACTTTTGCAGTCCTTGCTATTGTAATGCCGGCAGAATAGACGTCGTCCCAGCCAAGAAGTCCTTACTATATAAGAAGTCCTTTCGTCTCCAACTCTTCTGTTCTCCAGCTCTCTCTATCCATCTCACACATCCAAATACTTTTCAAACCTACCATACTACCACATCACTACATTCAAGACTAGAATCCAAAACAAGTCATACCACACTACTACTTCACCACCACCACACCACCACACACCCACACTACATCCGCGACAAGCCAAATCGCGATCATGTACGACTCGCCCCCCATCCGCATGTACGGAGCCGGAGCCAAGGAAGCGGCCGACGCCCGCCTCCTCGACGAGGTCAGGAGCCGTCGTGCCGCGACCGCCACCACCACCAAGACCAACGTCGTCGCCGCCGCCGCCAAGGCCGCCCACCAGGACTCCGCCGCCGGCATCCAAGAGCAACTCGTGGAGCTCCGCCGCCGCCGCCAGTTCCTTGAGGAAGAGCTGAAGAAGAACAAGGCGGCTGAAGAGACTTTGCTCCGCAAAGCAGATCGGGCTTCGGCCATGAAGAAGACTGTGGGCGGGTTGGCGGAGAAGAAGGAGGAGAGGGAGAGGAGGAGACAGGCGGCTTTCGAGCAGAAGAGGAGGGAGGCGGAGATGGGGAAGGGGCCGGTGGGGGTGGTGAAGAGGAGCCCGGCGAAGGCGGCCTGGAAGGGCAAGTTCAAGGACTTGTAGGCGGTTGGGGGTTTGGGGGGTTGGTGGGTGGAGTATGTAGATGGTGATGTCGTCGCCTGGCTTGAAATCCGGCCTGAATGAATGATGTTTCCCGACAATGATGTATGCTTCAAACTGTGATTTGTGTTCTCACATCGACGGGCGCACGGTGATATGTCGTCGTGAAGTCACTTTATGTCAGCGCAGATACTCACCGCATCATCACTGAATACCTCCTCGCTACATAATGTCGCGACGTGTGTACCCTAAAAATGCGATGTCTGCCTCAAAATGTGGTGGCAGAGTTCAAGTTCGAGGTACCCCACAAAAGCCAGCTATGCAGCAGCGCACGGACTAACGGTGACGTACTGCGATATCGTGACCGACACGCACCTATCACGCCTGCGTGGCGACGACATGCACCTATCTCCTCGCAATCAACCACTTCCTTTCCCTTTGTCAGCGGCAAACCTGTACATCAATCTCTCTGCTCCTACTCACACTCTGCCGTCGCACCCGACGACATTCCCGAGCCGCCTCACCCTTGCAGCGCATCATCCGATATCGCAACATCGTCATCATCGCAAAGCCAACATCAAACACCAAAACACCTAAAAGAGCAGGTACTGAGCGCGTCCAAGATACGCGAGTTAGTGCTTTGATCTTGCATAGCGCTCGTATTCGCTGCTTGATCACGCCAATCTACCCCGGACTTGTTAAGGCTAGGCGAAGGTGGGAAGGTGTTACCACGGAACGTTGCCGAGACGGTGGGATCGGGTGGAAGAGCGCCCTGCAGGACCGACGATTGAGGCGCTTTATTAAGTCTTGGGGCGACGATTCACTACTCCTCTTTTCGGTGCGGGTTGCATAAAAGAGGTCAAGAGGTAAGAGGGACGGCCGCGGTTGCTGGATAAGCTTTTCGCCACCCTGGCTGAGGTACTTCAACGGTCGATCGATTCCTAATAAGAGGCTGCATACGACTTCGGAGAGTTCGACACCATCAATCGATACCATGGAGCTACGGATTCGCGAGACAGAAAGCTCGGCACCGCAGACGCCCATCCCGCCGCTGCTGAACCTCCCTTCGGAACTACTCCACCATGTACTCAGCTACCTCACCCTATCAGACCTCCTCACCGTGGGCATGGCCAGCAAAGTCCTGCGCACCCACACATTCCAAGACACGCTATGGCAGGCCTTCGTAGAAGCAGAGGTGCCCAACATCACGAAACCAGCGCGCCTCACATGGCGAGAACTATACCAGGAACACCACCCCTACTGGTTCATCGCGCGGCGCAAGATCTGGTTCGCCGACACAGCCCACACCGGCAAACTGCTCATCGCGCGCTACGACCACAGGCTCAACGCAATCGAAGCCTACGCCCTCGTTGCGGAACGACGATCCCCCGTAGCTCTATCCTGGGACCAACACCCCGAAGCCATAATCCACACCTTCAGCCCCAACGTGCGCCTCGACCTCAACGCGCCCATCGTGCGTCTAAACCGCGACGCCTACGACGAAGCCGTCGGGAACATAGGATACCGTTTGCAGAAAGAAGTCCGCATGTCCCTCTACCGCGACCGCCAACAACAAGCCGCCTCCCTCTTCTCCCAACTCATGCTCACGCGTCCCTGGCCCACGGCCATAACAACAGATGCAACGCCCGTCTGGCCGCCCCTCACCCTCCCCAGCGCACACCGCACGCGCAACGACCACTCCCCCTCTGGGTACCGCCAACCAGGCCAGAAACCCGCAACCCTCTCCCAGCTCTCCGACTCCACATTCCGGATCCGGCGCTGGATGGAATTTTCCACGCGCGTCCTAGGTATGGGCATGCGCATCGGCGAGGACGTGACGACGTGGGCGACGCTACCCGAATCGAGCTACACGCCCACGCCCCAGAAACCATGGCAGGGCATCTGGTGCGGCGATTACGCGGGCCACGGCTGCGAGTTCCTGGCTATCATGCAGCCGGATGAGCGGGATGCGAAACCGTTGCCGGAACGTGCACTGTGGGCTATGCGGGCGAGGGAGCGGGAGGAGAGTGTGAGTAGTGGGGGGAGTTGGACGACGGCGCCGACGGATGCGGCGTCTTCTTCTGCTTCCGAGGAAGAATCCGTTGATGGTGGTGTTGAAATTGGTGTTGGAATGGAGAGCGCAGATGACCTCGAAGATAGCGTCGCCACTTTACAGTCTGCTTACCACGATTACATTTCCACCTCTGGGGAAACATCAAACGACAGTAAACACAGGTCGGAGGAAGACGAGAGTGTATACAGCGGCCGCATCGAAGCCGTCAAACTCACTGGCGACCCCAACATTCCTCGCGGCGAATACACATTCATAGCACCGGATATTGGCCCCAATGGCTTGATCCGCGTTGCGAAGGAGGAGATCTTCAAGGGAGCGAGGGTCGTGAGGAGTGTGGGGCATATTGCTGCGACGGGGTTTAGAGATGGTATGTTCACATCTACTCAACATGATGGCTAAACATGATGGTTGGATTGAGGGAAGTTGAGACTGACTAAAACAGATAACTACATGACAAGCCAGCTCATTCTCATCAGCCATGATCGGCTGGCGCAGTATTGGGAGACGTTTGGGCATGTGAGCTTTTATCAGAGGGTGGATGTTGATGCTTTTACGAGGGTGTGAAATACACATCTGGTCTCTGGCGCTAGGATAATAGAGTTTGTAGAACGTACGGGATATTATAGTCCTTTCAATATACATTCATCTCTCCATAGAGTCCATATAACACATCTCACACGTGCTTCCACAGTCGGTTCAGACAGGGAAACTTCCATCGCAGTACGTTCATAAAGAGGTCTTTCGACAGACACTAAATAACAACCATCTACAACCTCTTGCAAATATCCTCGATGATCTCCTCCGTCTTCGCCTTGCCGCCCATGTCAGGGCTGAGCAGCCTCGCCTCCTCGAGGTTCGCATCAACAGCCTTGTAAATGCTTGCCGCAGCCTCCTCCTCCCCAATAAACTCCAACATCAGTGCCGTAGACCTGATCGTCGCAATCGGATTCGCAATACCCTGGCCCTCGATATCAGGCGCAGACCCATGACACGGCTCACCAATCACAAAGTCCTTGCCTACGTTCGCGGAGGGAACGAGACCGAGGGAGCCGACGAGTGCGGCAGCGCCATCAGACAGGATGTCGCCGTAGAGGTTAGGCGCAACGATGACGTCGTAGTCCTGCGGTTGACGGAAGAGCTTGTATACCATTGAGTCGACAATTTGTTCCTCCACATTCACACCCCCATACTTCCTGTTCTGAAGCGCCCGGCGCGCGGTCTCGCGGAACAGGCCGTCGGTCTGACTCAGCACGTTGCTCTTGTGCGTTATCGTGACCAGCGGGCTGGCGTGAATTGACTGCGCACCGGCGTCGCGGACGCGTTGACGCCGGAGTGCGATATCGCCCGCCATTTCTGCGATGTTGAAGCTCGCGGTTTCGGAAATACGCTTGATCGCCTCAGCAATCTTACTCCCATCAGGCGCCGCATACGTCTTCTCCTCCTTAACATAAAGATCCTCCGTATTCTCCCTCACAATCACCATATCCACCTCCTTCAACCCTCCCCTAACACTCTTAACCGGCCGCACATTAGCATAAAGCTTCATTTTCTTCCTCAAGGCAACAATAGGACTTGAATAGCCTTTGGTCTGCACGGTGGGCGAGCTGACGGCTCCGAAGAGGGCGCCATCGCAGTCGGATTTCAGGGCTGAGACGGTGTCATCGGGGAGGGCGGCGCCGGTCTTTTGGAAGGTTTCCCAGCCGGCTTCGTGGTGCGAGAAGGAGAATTT